GCAGTGCCTCCGACCCCCAATCCCGCTAGCCTATCCAGAAGGATACCATGGTCAATGGTATCGAAAGCCGCTGAGAGGTCCAGAAGAATCAAAAGGGACGCACTCCCCCTGTCCTTCTCCCTGCGCAGGTCATCATACAGGGCGACCAAGGCAGATTCAGTACCGTACCCGGGTCTGAAGCCGGACTGAAATGGGTCCAGATAATCAGTTTCATCCAAGAGAGCTTAGAGTTGTCCCTCCACCACCCACTCCAACACTTTGCCCAGAAACGGGATGTTGGCCACTGGTCTATAGTGGCCATCTCTGGATCCAGTGACACTTTCTTCAGGACTGGTCAGACTACCGCCTCCTTTAAAGGGGCAGGTACCCGACCCTCCCTCAGAGAGGCATTAACCACTTCCAAGATCCAGATCCCAATCCTGTCCTTGGAATTATTTATTAACCAAGACGGGCAAGGGTCCAATATGCAAGTGGTGGGACGTACTCGTCCAAGCACCTTGTCCACATCATCAGGCCGCAATAACTGAAATTCATCCATTAATTTTGGACCAGATGGCAGCATTGGTGTCTCTCCAGAAGCCTCTGAGTCACTAGTGGAGTCTAGCCCGTGACGAATCTGAGCGATTTTCTCCCTGAAATGCATGGCAAAGTCATCATAGCGGGCCTTCAAGGGTGGAACCAGATCTTTCTTAGGACCTGGACAAACCAGGCCTTGCAGCACTCAAAAAAGCTCCACCGGACGGCATTTTGAGGAGGCAATGGAAACGGAAAAGAAATTCTTTTTCGCCGCCCTCACCGCCACAGCATAGGCCCAATAATGGGCTCTCAAGTGTGTTCAGTCAGATTCATCCTGTGATCTCCTCCACCTACGCTCTAGCTGTCTCCCAGCCTGCTTCATCGCCTGCAATTCAGGTGTATACCAAGGGGAAGAGTGGGCTCTGCCTGGTGGGAGAGGACGCCTAGGAGCGATTGTGTCAACAGCCCTGGTCATCTCTCCGTTCCACAGTTCGACCAGAGCCTCGACAGGAGCACCAGTCTTGTCAGCCGGAAACTCCCCCAGGGCCTTCAGGAATCCATCCAGATCCATCTGGCTCTGGGGGCGGACCCACACAATCGGGTCCGCACCCTTACAGAGGGAGAGGCCGCTCTCGAGCACAAACCTCACCAGGAAGTGATCTGACCATGGCAAGGGTGTCAAACATAAATTCCTCACCCTCAGACCACCCTCTTCCTGCCCCGTCGAGAAAACCAGGTCCAGAGTGTGTCCACGTTCATGGGTCGGGCCGGTGACATGTTGAGACAGCCCCATGGCCGTCATGGAGGCCATGGAGTCCTGAGCCGCCCTGGTCAGACCAGTCTCGGCATGGAGATTGAAGTCCCCCAGGACCAACATCCTGGGGGTCCTTAACACCAGGTCCGAGACGATCTCCGTCAGCTCAGGCAGGGAGACAGTTGGGCAGAAGGGTGCACAGTACACCAACAGAATCCCCAATCTGTCTCGGTCACCCAACACCAAGTAGAGGCACTCCAGCCCTGGCCTCGAAGGGACCGGAAGTCCCGTGAGGGAGATGGAGGCTTGGTAAACCAAAGCGACCCCCCCTTCCCTCCCCTCTGGGCATGAACGGTGCTGAACCAGATACCTGGGTGGGCACATTTGAGAGAGGGCGACATCCCCCCCTCTCCCGCCCAGGTCTCCGTTATGCAAGCCAGGTCGGCCCCCTCATCCACAATCAAGTCATGGATGAGGGAAGATTTATTGTTGACCGACCTGGCATTGAGCAGCAGCACCGTCAGGCCCGAGGGGCGGTTGACAAGACTACCTGGAACCCTCTGGCTGGGGGCAAAACCAGAAGGAGGGACAGGTGTCAACCATCTGTCCCTCCTCCTACGTGGACACGTTAAGCCCCCACTGCTGTTACGTCTATTGCCCATGACCGCCCCAATGGCAGCGCCCCCGTGCTCCCCAGGAAACACAAACGTCGACATGGCCAGGTACGACTCCATAAAAACAAATTAAAACAGATTAAAATACAATAAAATTATAAAAACAATCAAAAACTCCCCATTCCCTCGGCGGTGCGCCCCAGTCTGGCGGCGGTGGCAGCGACTGCGCAGCGCGGTGTGGCAGATAGACCGAGCTGCGGAATGTGGCTGATGTCCGGGGGGGGGGAGGGAGCTCCAAGCCTGCCCTGCCCCAGGCCGGGTCCGGCGGGTTAAACTGGCACCCGCCCGCGTGCCCCGTCCCAAACCGGTGTCGCTCTCACCGGCACTGGCGGGGGGGAGCAGGGAGGGGCATGGAAACCCGTCCGGCGGCAAGATGGCGGCACCCTCCTCCGCGCCATCGGCGGCAGGCCTGGTGTGGCCCTGGCATCCTCCGTGCCCGGGGTGGTCCAGCGATGGCCGCAGGAGCGGCGTCAGCTGGCCCCCGGCTCAGCGGTACACCCCAGTCTGGCGACAGCGCAGCGCGGTGCGGCAGGTGGACCAATTAAAACATGGCCCCTGGCCAGCCCAGCCCCCCACTCGGCCCCCAAACGGCTCCCAAATGGCGGCAACTGCCCTTTGGCCTTCGGCCGCCGGCCCTGGCCGCTGCCGGCACTTTATGGGCCGCAGGGCCCTCCCCGAGCTCCGCCCCTTCCTGGCGCGTCTCTCACCTGCGCGGGGGAAGCAGGCTGGAGCTGGGTCCTGGGTCCTGGGCCAGTGGTCCTGGCCTCTGGAGGGTGGTGTGGCAGCTGGTGGCCGCAGGCGGCATCGCTGCAGAGTGGCGACGCGATGGTCCGGGCGGCGCGGAAGGAGGTGGGCCCCGTTTTGTGTTTTGTGTTTGCTGGAAGGTAAATTTGATGCTGTGTTTTTGTTAAATTTTGCATATTATTTACTGTATTTTGAATATTGTGTCCCTTTTGCTTTGTAAACCATCCAGAGATGTTGCTACTTAGCTTCGCTCTTATTAATATTTGATCAGAAAATCTTTCCAGCAGGTGCTGAAAGTAGCAGATGAAGACAATAAACATTTTACACCAGAGCAACTTTCTTTTGCTTGAAGCAAAACTTTGGCTCAGGATGTACTGGGAGAATGCTAGAACCATAGGGCTCCTAGTCTGGGGTTTCTGGATGTCTCTTAGGAGCTTAAACCTGTTCCTTTTTGGTCCATAGATATATTTTACATCATGGTGGGTGAGAGGCGGAATGGAAATCTGCTGGTGCATCTTGGGCCTAAACTGCAGGCTTATCCTGAGGAGCTAATTCGCCAGCGTCGTGGCCATGATGGACATACTGAATACCTGATTCGTTGGAGCATTCTTAGTTTGGATGACAGCACCGGGAGCAGCACCAATGCTGCTTCTGCTGAGAGCAAAACGGAGAATATTCTGATGTGGATGTCAGCAGAGGAAGTTTATGCTAACTGCCCAACGCTGCTGGGTAAGAGGAAGCCTGAGGGACAGCGGGTGAAGGAGGAGAAAGCGCCTAGCAGTAGTGCATACCCATCTGATGTCACAGTGGATGAAGCTTCCCTACGTGAGATGAAGGCTGATGTCCGGAACCTGGTGCAGCGGGCTGCACGGCAAATGGCTAGGACAACTGGCCCAGAGTCCTCCATCCTAAATACCATCCATGTGCTCAGTGCCTATGCCAGTATTGGCTCATTGACAGGTGTCTTCAAGGAGACAGGTGCTCTGGATCTGCTGATGAAGATGCTGTGCAATGAGGAAAAACAAATCCGTCGTAGTGCTGGCAAGATGCTGCGGGCTCTGGCTTCACATGATGCAGGTGAGTTTGCCTGGCCAGGAGCCCCAAAAAGAACATGAGGCTTCTCCTTCACTAGTTGCTAGAGCAGTTTGTGAAACTGGAAGATGCCTAGTGATTGAGTTCTTGGTGGGATCCCCTGGCATTGTTGAATGGCTCAAGGCTCTTGTTTGCTTCCTTGCACGATAGTGAAGTATCTGTTATTATTTAGATACTGAAGTAAATGCACATATTTGAATCTAAGGTTATCTTGGAACAATCAGGATCTTAAGCATCACCAAATAATATTTTGTTTCGAATGTTGGAATTTCATCTTGAAACAATTCTAAGTCTAAATGAACAATTCCAGGTCTCTTGTTAGAACAGTTAGAGTTTAGCAGTAGCGCTTTGACCAACCCTTCCCCAACCTAGCACCTTCCAGATGTCTTGGACTACAATTCCCATCATTACTACTACCAACAAACATATTGTTGTGCTGGCAGGGGATGGGAAGGCAGGATTTTTCCAATGCATTTAGAGCAGGGGTCCTCAAACTTTTTCAACAGGGGGCCAGTTGAAAGGGGCTGGTGAGGGGGTGGGGCGGGGCAGGGGGCGTGGGTCGGTGAGGTGAGGGCAGGCGTGTGGTGAGGTGAGGCAGCAGCGGGTGCGTGTGGAGATCGTTTTCTCCGAGCAAGTCCAAAACCATCTCCATGCGAGCAAGCCGTCGCGACTCAAAACCTCTGAGGTGGGCCAGATAAATGGGCATGGTGGGATGGATCCGGCCCACAGGCCGTAGTTTGAGGACCCATTATTTAGAGGGTGCTGAAGTGGGGAAGGCTATGATAGGCTTTTCTGTGTGGATTTTAATAGGTTATAGCCAATGTTTATGTAATTTCATGTTCTTTTGGATATCATTAAGACCTAAAGCTTAACTATGGCAGTTACCGTATTTTTCACTCTATAAGACGCACCTGACCATAAGAGACACCTAGTTTTTAGAGGAGGGATCCATGGAAAGCTTCCTGATAATCACAGGCACATTCCCCATCACTTCCCCATGGGCTTCATTAAAAGACGGGTTGCCATTTGAAAACACACACCGACCTGTGATTAACGGCTCTCACCTGCGCCGGAGGAGGGGGGCTGAGCAGGGCACGCCGAGTGCGTGCCGGCCAGGTGTGGTGCAGCCGGGCTGGCAGCGTGCCGGTGATGGTCTTCTGAGCGGCGCAGCAGCAGCGGCAGTCTTCCCGAGCGGTGGGGGTGAGCCCTCCATCTCTCCATGCGGCCGGCGGGTTAAAGCCCATGGCTCCTCCTCTGCTGCGGCAGGTCTTCCTGGTTGGTGGGGGTGAGCAGTCCGTCTCTCCATGCTGCCAGTGGGTTAAAGCCCGCGGCTCCTCCTCCTCCGCGGCAGGTCTTCCCGGGCAGTGGGGGTGAGCAGTCTGTCTCTCTGTGCGGCCGGCGGGTTAAAGCCCGCGGCTCCTCCTCCTCCACACCACTCCCCCTGAGCGGCACAGCTCTCACCTGCGCCGGGGGGGGGGGGGCGGAGCAGCGTGTGCCGGCCAGGTGGCGCCACATGGTGCAGGCAGCCGGCAGTGTCCCAGGCGTCGGGCACACACACATTCACTCTATAAGACGCACAGACATTTCCCCTTACTTTTGAGGGGGGAAAAGTGTGTCTTATAGAGCAAAAAATACGGTAGTTTTTTTTATTAAGCTTTCCTCCAGTGGTATTGTGTGGCAATATCCATCTGTAATGTTCCCATGGGAAGGCTAAGGACAGTTTATCTCTTTCCATTCAGTATCGTTAGAGGAGAGGGAAGGGAATCTAGGTTTACTTTGAGGGCTTCAGACAGCTACTTTAATGTTTAATGTTTAATTTTTTGAAAGGCACTCATACTTTTACTCTTGATGCTGTCAGGTATTATGGGTACAAGGTATGCTTTCTTGCTAAAGTTTACCTTGATGGTAGTTACTGGAGTAAAAACATGTCGTGGGGAGTGGTGGAAAATATCTTACATTCATGAAGTTAGAGTCAGACATAGTGATGATTAGAGTAGATCTATCGAAATCAGTGATTAGCTGTGAAATTATGATAGATGTTAAGTCCGATGGATTTCAGTGGGGCTGCTCTAAGTATCACTAAGTCTGGAACCAACCCTTTCAATTAAAAAAAATCTTATTTGAGTGATGTTATTAAGATTTGGTCCCATTTTAGATCAATAAAGGTTTGGTGACTGGTTGGTAAACAGTTTTAGTTCATGTGAAAAAATAACATTGTTCACATTATGATACTAATTTTTAAATTTGATAATGTGATCAATATAATGATATTGTATTCTAATGGTAATAATGGGTAGTAAGCATATTACACAGGAACAGCTACAATGTATTAAGGAATTTGGAACATGGCAGGAGATGAAGGGAAATGGTGGTGGTGGTAGAATGAGGCACTGCCTTAGGTTGAGGTTGTTGCTCTTCTTCAGAATCTTTTTTCTTGTTTTGTCTTGAACTTAAGCAATTTTTCTTACTCTTAGGAAATGCCTGTTATGTGGGAATGAGTTTGCATAGGTGACAAAATGTTCTTCTCTTCTTTTGCTTAGTATATCCTGGACTCCTGCAGGCTGTCACTTTCTCATTAATTTTCCATTTTGCTATAGTTTCCCGGGCAGGGCAGGGGGTGGAGCAGAAAGGATAAAGTTATGGCTTCTTTTTCTATCTTTTTTTCTAGGAAGCAAAAGTTAAGCAATGGTAGATCACCATTAACCGTCTTAACTATTACTGAGTAACTGATATGCCATACCTATGAAATGGCTCTGTGTGTGAGCTTTTCTATTATGTTCTGCAGAGATTAATGGCTTTGTGTGGTCTTGAGGCTTTGAGAGAATAGAAGTAGGGTACATCGCTTATTAGGAACTCATAAAGAGAGACATAACATTCCAGGGGTGCAGGCAGTGGGATGATCCTCTTCCTAGCATAAATTTGCAAGCCTTTTTCCTGCTGACCTTAGCAATGGCCAGCGATAACCAGAATTTGCAGATCAGCTTCAAAGCGTGGGTTAAAATCCAGGTTAAACTGGAAGTATTAGCAGTAATCATGTGGGAACAGGGCTGGGGAAACTGGTGTGGGAAAGGGGGCAGTATGCAACCACATGGCTTGTTCTGGCTCTTTACCATAGTTAAGAGACTGGGGTCATTATGTCTACCAGGCTTCATCTTAAAATATAGAAACATAGAAACAGAGTCAGAAGGGGTCTCCTGGGCCATCTAGTCTGACCCCCGGCACCAGCCGGCTCCGCTCATGACATGTCCACCATGTGCATGTCCAGCCTGTCCAATATCAAGCATTGCAACTTTTATTTCTAGTAGGGATGAAGAAACCTATACTTTCTTAGTTTTGAAAACTAAGTTTTGAAAGTGGTAAGATTTTGAGATTTTCAATAATTTATCTTAAAGCATTTTTTTACATTTTTATTTATTTATTTTTATTTATTAAAACATTTTTATGCCGCCCCATTCGCCGAAGCCTCGGGGCGGCTTACAACATTAAGTTAAAAAATAATTATAACATTAAATTAAAAATACAAACATAAGGTAAAATGCAAAAAATAACAATATAAAATAAGTCGCCCTGGCCAGATTTTGTGACTTTTAAGAGGGGCTAGAAATTCCAGTCATTTATTCTGGTAAAATACAATCTGCATGAGTAATATTATAATCCACCAGAATCATGCAAATCAAATTAGTGGTGTGTGTTACTTAGCAGTGGCTTTCTGGTTCACAAAATAGTTTTGGTACATGTGTTGGATCTGAGTAAGGAGGCAGTATCCAGAATTGATATATAATACCAGAGGAAGGTTCATGCTTTTGTGAAAAGCTCCTCTCATTGGCAGAATATGAGGGACAGCACTAAGTGTGTCTGTTTTGGTTTCAGGAAGCCGAGCTTATGTTCTTTTGTCGTTGAGCCAGCAGGATGGCATTGAGCAGCATATGGACTTTGACAGTCGTTATACTCTCTTGGAGCTGTTTGCAGAGACAACATCCTCTGAAGAGCACTGCATGTCCTTTGAGGGAATCCACCTTCCTCAGGTACCAGCTGATCTGATTGGCTGTAATATGGGCATGAAGATGTCTTTTTAAGGTCAGATGGTTCAAAATGCAAGAATATGAAGGCATGTCTGAAACACAGAAGTAAGGGTGGAGTGGCCTAACAACCGCTGTTGTGGAGAATACACTGCTTTAGGTGACTTGTCTCAAGCAGAGGTGGGTGATGTTAAGTTCGAAGAATGTCTGAAGGAGAGAATTCATAGCATGCACCAAACTCATTAGAAATTCAGAACTTACACAAAATTCCTGCAGGCCTAGCCAACCAGCTAATAAGGGGGCAGTGTAATTTCTTGGCTATAGGTCTGATAAGTTTTGTCTGTTTCAGATTCCAGGAAAGCTGCTTTTTTCTCTTGTGAAGCGCTATCTCTGTGTTACCTCCCTCATGGACAAGCTCAACAGTACCACGGAACTGGGAGGGGAGAGGCAAGATGCTGCAGCCCCCAGTGCAAACTTTGGTGAAAAGAGCCGAGTGCAACGGGAGTTTGATTTCAGCATGGCCATGGCTAACCTCATTTCGGAGTTGGTGCGGGTCATGGGCTGGGACCGCAGTCAAGAGAAGGAACTTCTTTCCCTGCGGGAAACACAGCCTCGAGTTGTTCGGTCTATCTTCCAACCTAAGGGCTCCACCTGTACTGCTGTTCAGGTGCCTCTGGCAACTTCAAAGCCTTCACCAAGAAAAAAACATGGGCAAGCATTCATGACTTTATCAGATTTCTCCAGTCGTAGCAGTTATATAGAGTATGTGCAGGAAAATCTAAAGCCAGGGATGATGGTGCGGATGCTGGAAGACTATGAGGAGATCAGCACTGGAGATGAGGGTGAATTTCGTCAAAGCAACAGTGGGATGCCTCCTGTACAGGTATGTGATTTGGGCAAAGAAGGACAGATGAAGCAGAGCAATGAAGCAGAGCAATGAAAGAAGTGGGGGAGGGATAGTTGCGGTTAAGATTCAGGAGTTGTTCCTTTAGCTTAATGGTTAACTGATACTATAAGTGGTAACCATGTGAGAGACAATACAGAGAAGGGAGGAAAGTCAGAGGTGTGGTTATCCATAAAGCAAGTGTCCTAGAAGTAGTAGATGTAGCAAAACTCCTAGTGGATGCAGTCCAACACTGCTGTATCCCTGTAGTCATGTATATTCAGTAAGAGGAGTCAGCATTGCTTCTAGAGTGGTAAGTTCTGTCTCACTAACATTAGAGTTCTTAGAAGGCGTCAATAACATGTGGGTACGTAGGAGTGAACCAGTAGACATCATTTACTTGGACTTTGACAGAGTTCATCCCCAAAGACTCCTGAGCAAACTTAGTAATCTTGGAATAAGAGAAAAAGTCCTTTTATGGATCAGTAATTAGTTAAAGTAGAGAGTAGGAATAAGATCTCCCAGTGTAAACAGTGGGACCAGTGTTTTTCAGCTTGTACATAAATAATCTGGAATAGGAATGAGCAGTGAAGTGGGCAAGTTTTCTGATGACAGCCATTTATTTAGAGTGTTTAAAACAAAAAAGGCTTGCAAGGAGCTCCAAGAGGATCTCTCCAAACTAGAGAATGGGCATCAAAATGGCAAATTAAGTTCATATAAGCAAGTCTAAGGTAATATATGTCAGGGCAAAATTTAGAACTTCAGGTATAAATTGATGAAATCTTGAGGTAACAGTGAATAACCAAAAATGAGTTCTTGGGCTTGTGGTGGTCAGCTGGATAAAATGTTGCCCCTGTGTTTGGCAGTTGTGAAAAAGAGAAACTTCATGTTAGGCATAAAGAGGAAATGAACTGAAAATAAAACTGCCAGTATCGTACTTCCTTTATACAAATCTATGGTATGACTGCATTTAGAGTACTGTATACATTTCTGATCACTGCACCTAAAAACGGCTATTCCAGTGTTGGGATAAGTGCAAAAAAGGGGCACTGTAAGTGATTAAGGGGCTGGAGCACCGGCCCTATGAGGAAAGGCTCCAATGGGTGAAATTGCTTAGTTTAGAAACAAGGTGAATAAAAGGGGAGCATGACAGAGGTGTATGCAATTAAGCTGTAGAACTAGGACAGGGAGATACTTTCTTTTCATGCTGTTGGAACACATGAAGTTGATTGTTGGGAGATTCAGAACGGATAAAAAGGAATGCTTCTTAACACAATGTATAGTTAATTTTCCATGATATGTAACAACAACCACAAATTTAGGCAGCTTTAAAAGGAGATTGGACATATTTCTGTAAGGCTGTCTGTGGTTACTAGTGACCTCCAGTAACAGAAGACAGTCTGTCTGTGTACATTAGCAGGAAGGTGCCTTTGCACTCTTGTCCTTTTTGTGGGTTCCTGGTGGCAGCTGTTTGTGCAGTGTGTATGCAGAAACCTGGACAAAATGTTCCCTTGGTCTGATCCATGATAGATCTTCTTATTTTCTTGATCCAGCTTTAGTAATCTCTTTTCTAGTAACATGTAGGATTGACTAGAGCAACAGTCCCCAACCTTTTTGGCACCAGGGATCAGTTTTGTGGAAGACAATTTTTCCACCGACTGGGGGTCGTGGTGGTTTCGGGATGATTCAAATACATTACACCAGTGCTTCATACTTCAAACTTAATCCATTTCAGGTGGCCGAATTAATAGATTAATTCACTCCCCCCCCCCCCCGATTTATATCCTGACTTTTTCCTACAAAGGGCTCAGGGCAGCTTACATCATTCTCCTCCTCCATCTTATCCCCACAACAACAACCCTGTGCGGTAGGTTGGGCTGAGAGTCTGTGACTGGCCCAAGGTCACCCAGTTGGCTCCATGGCCGAGTGGGGACTCGAACCAGGTTGCCTGAGTCCCAGTCCCACTCTCTTAACCACTACGCCACACTGGACAAGTCCGAAGCAGTGTTCCCCATTAGAAATAATGGAAAGTGAATTAATCCATTCCCAGACTCCAAAGAATACACATCTTGATAAACTTAAACAGTAAATATGCATAATTTAAGGAAAATAACACAATTAAATGCCAAATGCATTAATTAAAACTTGAAAACAGTTAATAAAATTCATAAATATGTACAGTACTGTATAATAAAATGAAAATTGCGTTTACTGTCCAGATTTTTTAGTGAGGAGTGGTGAAGCAAAAAAAGATTGAGAAGGCAGTGAGAAAGATCAGGAAGGCAGGCAGTTAAAAGGGACTGAAAAGGATTGAGGAGGCAGTGAGAAGAATTGGGCAGGCAGTTAAAATGCACTCAGAATGATTGAAAAGGCACTCAGAAAAGGCACTCAAAAGGATCGAAAAGACGCTCAGTGAAAAAGCACAGACACAACGAGAGGAGAGGCCACATGGGCCCACAACTAATGACCTTTACTCAGCTACCGCGTCTTTTTCCACCGTGCCTGCGGTTCTAACATAAAAGTGTCGTTCGAACTTCAAAGAGATTTTATCTTGACTCTAACATTCAGACTCTGGATCTGGCCCGCCACTTACCTCCTGCGGTGCGGCCAGGGGTGTGTGTGTGTGTGTGTGTGTGTGTTCCTAACATGCTACGGACTGGTACCAGTCCACAGCCTGGGGGTTGGGGATCCCTGGATTAGAGCACATGTTCTGCAAGGTGCTGCTTTTGAATTTAGAAGCTGCTGCTTCAGAAAAAAGTAGTCAGATTGATAAGAAGGGCACGAAGGTCAGAACATCTAACACTAATTCAGTTTTGTCTGCTTGTATGTTTCTTATTCCGATTAAAGGTGCTGGTTTTGATCTGACAAGCTTTACATGTTTCAGGGCTGCAGTACTTGAGAGAGTGCTTCTTTTGGCAGGTACCTACCTGTACGTCATATTAGCTGTTGAAGGCACTCTTGCAAGTGTCTCCTCTGAGGGAATAAGGGAGAGGGCCTGCTTGGAGTAAGAGCCTTCCTCCAAGACCTGCCTGGTTTCCACCGTGATTATCATTTGTCACCAGCTTTCAGGCATTTGGCAGAATACGATAAGGTTTTTAATTCAGGAATTGGATTTCTTATTGTTAAAATAGTTTAGGTGTGTGCATGTTGCGTATTTAAATTTATATGGACATTTTTAATATATTGTGCTCAGTATAGTATTTTAAGGTGTTTAATCCTTATAAAACATCCAGAGAGAGAGCTTCAGCTATTAGATAGTATGAAAAAGAGAGAACTTAAGAGAGTGAAAAGGGAATGTTGGCCTTTGAGAATGTGATCTGACAAGGCCAGTGCTTATGTTTAAAAGGGGCACTTAATCAAACTATATCTTAAGAAGGGTTTGGACATTTTACCAGCAATGAAAATTCTTCATTTAATGTTTGTTTGCCATGTCACAGTTTGTTGAATCACCCACTCAGAGCTCCACTTGCGTACTTGGTGGAGTAGCTGTCACTGGTGGTGCTCTACGCAAGCTTAACAAGAGCAGCAAGAGTTTTTTGCTGAGTGGCTTGTTTGATACTTCCTTATTCCTGTGATTGATTGATTGATTGATTGATTGATTTAGGAGACTTCTATGCCGCCCCATGGGCTTATTCACTGATTGCAGAAGACATAACAGTTCATCATGGGTACAGCAATACCTAGAACAAGCCATGGATTGTCAGGGTGGCATGCCATCCCAAAATAAGCCACTCTTTATCCAGGTTTGCACAACATGACAGATCACCATAGCTAGTTTCCCATGAAGGATTGCTGTGTCATGTAAACCCACAAAAATAAGAGTATTTTGTATCTGCTTTCTAGGAAATGAAATGTGTTTACATTAAAGAGGAATGATGGAGGTGGGCTAGAACAGTGAGCCAGGAAAATAATATTTTCAGTGACACTTTGAGTTGCAAGATGAGTTTTCTCAAAAGCAGAAACATTTGTCACAGTCATATTAGCTCGAACAAGTATTTAAAATTTTATGTGAAAATTACACTTTAATTAGATGTATCATTAATATTGAGGTTCTAGGAGGAGAAGCAGAACTGGTGTTCTTAATTTAAAAGAGAAGGGAAATGGAAGTGGAAAACAAGTTCTGGGCAACATTTACAGTTGAATTTTGCATTTTGAGAACGCCTTATAGAATGGCAGTTAGAAATTCTTGTATAAAGATCTAGGATGGAGCAGTAGATAGAAAGATGAACTTGGGTAGAAATTTCAAAACTATTTTAGGAATTTCCTAAATCTCTCATTTTTTCCTGGTCTGCCACATTATAAAATTAGAACAATGCTATCCTTATTCACAAGGTGGTTTTGATGGTGACTTGTACATATGAATTATAAGGGATTTTGTAGGTCTGCATTCCTTGTGCAGAATAGTATATTTGAGAGGCAAGGGTACAGCAAGATATTAAATTGTTTATATAATGTTTCTTAAATTATCTTGATTAACCTTTTGCTACAGAAATTAGTTCACTGATTCAGTATTAAATCAGTAAGCCAGAATAAGTTTGTCAGAAGATATAGAAAGCAAGTCACTGCTTGCAGCTTAAGAAATCATGGGCTAAGTATCCTGGCAATTATAGCAGCTGAGGGGGTGGTTATTATGAGATACTAAGGTCACAGTTGAAATAAATAAACAGCTGGCAGAAGTCACCAGCCCCCTGAGTCAGGCTAGATTACATTTTCTCAGCTCTTCTAACATTATTAATAATCAAGAAGCTAAACAGTAAAAGAAGACAGTTGCTTTGATACAAAATACGATCCATGTTATATTAAAGTCCCAAAGGTTTAGAAGAAAAATCAAGGGGTTAAGTCTTATGATTAAAATCAGAACAAAACTACGGTAGTTGGTTCTGTAGTCATCCTTGAGTGCTAGTCTTCAGCCCATGCATTTCCAGTTATTTTAATTGCAGCTTCCTGCTCAGCATTGGTCAAACAATGCATTGTGCAAAGTGGCACATTTATCATGGGGAAAAATACAGTGATAGGAATTTTTTCTCTAGCTATTGGTGGGTTTCACCATTGTGGCATGGGACAGATACTTTATTTTGACTATATTTATGTAAGATCAGGATTAGTGAATAGGATTCATTGGCAGCAATGGTTTTATTTTTTACTTTTATTAGTGAGCCTCACAGCAAATAGTAGAAGACTGTGAGCATTTGACTGATCAAATAATGGGAAGGTATTTGATTAACCAAAGGATACTTTAATTATCAACAACTTTGAAATTGTACTAAATATAAAGCCAGATCAACGAATGGTTACATTTTTAAGTTAATTTCATCTAATAGGCTGTATCTGCAGCTGGCCCTGCATTTCTTCTTCTATTGGGACCTACACTGTCGCAACAGTGCTTCCTAGAGTGACTCTAGAAGCAAACCCCTTTTCTATGGACTCTACTAACCTGTTCCATTCTGGAAACCAATATTTTGGATTGAATCTGTTTGCGTTAGGAAGTGTTAGATTCCTGTTGCACTATTGCTGGGTCTCTCTGACACAAAGACAACATTGGGTGTTTCTCAATAAAAAGCTACAGAGTTGGAAAAGTGTGCAGAAAACAATAACGATTACTGGGATTGGGACACTTTAGGAACATAAGAAAATACATGCTGGATCAGGGCAGTGGTCCATCTAGACCAGAATTCTCTTTACACAGCAGCCAACCAGCTGTCTGTGGGGAAACTGACAAGCAAGACATGAGTTCAGCAGCACTTTTCTATCTAAGGCGTATGTAGGCATATTGCCTCTGCTGATGGCTATTATCAGGGCTAGTAGCCATTGATAACCTTATCCACCATAATTTATCTAATCTCCTCTTAAAGCCATCCATGTTGGTTGCTATCACTACATCTCATAGAACTGAATTCCACAGTTTAGCTGTATGCTGTGCAAAGAAGTGATCCTTTGCATCTGCCTTGAATCTCCCATGAACCAGCTTCATGTCATGACCCTGGGTAATAATACTCGGAACGGGAAGAAAATTTGTCCTTATTCCTTTTCCTGTTGCAAGCATAATGTTGTACACCTCTATCATGTCTCCCCTTCCTTGTCTCTATGTTGACATTATATTCGTTTTCAAGATAGGAGTAGGTAATTCAAAGGAATGTGTATCAAAGCAGAATATTAAAGGGCCTTCCATCACAAAGATTTATGAAGATTATAACCCCCTCCCAAAAGGAAGCTGTGATTTGGCATTCTCAAAACATATGGAAAAGAGAAGCAGTAGCAACATTACATCCTCCAGCAGCTGGCCAATTTGACTAAACCCTTATTAAAGAGATGTTGTGCCATCCAATATACTTGAAACATTTTTTTCTGAATTATGCACAGCCTGAGATTATAATCTCTTCTGAAATAGATGATAATGATTTACTCCTTTGGTTAGGCAATATGGGTTGTTCCATTTCATTGTCTCATTTTGCTTCAGAGTCCAAGTATCATATTTACTTGCCAATATTTAATACTTACAAATCATAGACTGAAGTATTTTTTTGTTTTCAGTCAATGTGTCCAATAACACAGGAAGTTTTCAAGCTGTAAAAACATCAGGACTAAACCCAGATTCTAACAAATGTTTCAGTTGTGTCTGTTGCCAGGCAGCTATAACTGACTATATTTAGTATGCAAAATTGTGTGTAGCAAAAAAACAGTGCTGAGAAGCTGATCCAAAGTAAAAATGTATCCAGCTCCACCAGACAGACATTTTCTTGCTTGGTTTTAAATCTGGATTTCCCCATAAAGTTAATGTTTCATGTGAAGATCGCTTAAACCGCCATTGACATGAAACTGCACACCACCGCTCTCTAGGCGCCACAGCTGGAGGGGGCACATTGAGTATTGCAAGAGCCCAGTGCATTCCATCTTGGAAGACGATCCAAAAAATGAAAATTCCAGAACAGACCAGGGAGCAGAATCTAATTTAAATGGAAAAGACCAAAACTGAGTATAGTAGATGGTACAGAAAAAGGTCAGGGAAGCCAAATTTACCTCTTATTGGAAGTTGCATCTTTTTCAAGGAAGTTCATGGTGCAGTGGAGTCCCATAAATATTTATGAAAGAAAACATTAAATTATTGAAAACACTTGCCAGATATAAATAAAGGAATAACACATAAAACATTGGCATTTGAGAAACTGCATTCATTTTAAGTTTATTTACTGTACCCCATAAGTGTAACCTTATAGATGTGCCCCTTGAGATTTTATTATTCAGCTTACTCAATTTTAATTTGTTATATGTCTCCTGGAACAAGAACTCCCTGGTAATAATACATTTGGCTCAGATTATGAATGGCAAATTAGATAGCACAGTATGGGATTAGATATTAGATAACAAAGCAATTAGATACAGCTTCAGTGTTGGTTTAGTTTCATTTTTGTACCACCCAATAGGTGAGGCTCTCTGGGCAGTTAACAAAAGTTAAAAACACACAAACAACAAAAATTAACATAAAACAATAAACCCACAGTAATTGCAACCAAATCAGTACAGAGGCATGGCAGCATATAGAATAAAATGCAATATTAAAACTAAAGTTTAAAAGTTAAACTGTTGCAGTCCTGGGAAAATAAAAAGGCTTTCACCTGGCACCAAAATGAATACAAATAGGTATCAGGTAAACCTCTTTGGGGAACTCTGGGGAGTTCTGATTGATCAGATAATAAAATAACCAGATAACTGTCCAAATTGTTTCATCAATTGTTTGTTTCAAGGCTGAAACTAAGAACTGAAGTTGCAAATAGACAATAAAAGATAATAAGGGAAGATTATATTCTGACATATTATGCTTAAATTCATATATATTAGGGTTTTATCTGATAGCACATGCAAGAAATTCCAAACATAAATATCAGTGGGGAAAGAGGTCACTCCTGTTTAGTATCTCTCTCGAGTAGAAAAAACTTAGACAAGACTCTGTCGGTCCTTATTCTAGCTAAAGCAGCTGCATGTTGATGGAAATGGCAGTTTCCATCAACTTCTGAGAAGTGGAGAGTAAAATTGACAGGAGATGTAGCAGAAGTTGTAAGATTGAAGAAATTTTCTGAGAAGGATGTTGTTGCTGTTATGTGCTCTCATGTCATCTCTGACTTATGGTGACCCCATGAATGAAAGCCCTCCAAAATGTCCTATCTATGATAGCCCCGTTCAGCTTGTATAAATTCAGGGCTGTGGCTTTTATGGAGTCATCTCATATTTGGCCTTCCTTTACTTCTTCTGCCTTCCCTAGCATGATTGTCTTCTCTGGTGAGTCTTACCTTCTCATGAGGGGTCCAAAGTATGACAGATTCAGTTTTGACTTGCTTGGTTTGGTTGGGAATCCACTTGTTAGTCTTTCTGTTGGCCTGGGTTACTTTGCAGATCAGAACTTCTTTGATTCATCCTGAAATTCCATTACAAGTATGGCTAGAAAAATCATTCAGAACTTCAGATTAAAATTTCTTCTTTGATCAGAAATTTCTTTTGTGACATCTGGATAAAGCACGATTTTGTCCTTATTTCGACCTTGCTGAAGTGCTTCCTTCTACCTGTCTGCACAAAGGATGTATGCTTTGGTTGAAATGTGATAATGGGTCTTACTCTTTCTCAATGGGTAGGACCAGGAATATACTCTATAACAAGATTAAAACTTTCTTGATGTTCCAGCACTAACACAATCTAGCAAAAAGTAAAGGGAAAAAAAGATATGGATAGGTATGAGAGAAAGATGGTCTTAATAATATTTTAAAGCTGAAAATTAGGTGATAGTAAGGAATGACAAGCAGCTCATGTTGCCATCTTAGCTGCAAGTCAGGTGAGAGCTGAATGTAATCACCATGTTCAAGGGTTGTATGCCACTTGCTGGGAAAGACAGTGGGAAAGGGGTTCAGACCCTGCTTGTGTCCTCTCTTGACTTGATGGACTTTGAGCCATGAGCTTTTCCATGCTATTAGATTTGCCATTAGGACTAGAGTGAAAGCAACCTGCACTCTTATACATGCTAACAGATGGTACCATAGTAATGAAAAGAAGACAAACTTCCATCCAGATCAGGGAAGAGAAACTTGTGGTCCTGCAGGTGTTTTGTCCTGACATTTGCATAACTGATAATATCTGACCATTGCAAACCTTATGGAAAGCTTTAAATAATTCTGCCAAATTAATATACCCTGAAGGAATAGGCATACAAGATGATGAATCCTATAACAGGATTTGTTATTTTTGTTACATCTTTTAATGGTGCACATGCCTCCACCAGGTTTCATCTTTTTCATTTCTAAACTTGCATCATGTGACATGGAAGATTTGGGCCAACAGTCAGTTCTGACCATACAATTCTGTTTACTTCACAGGTTTTGTGGCAGTCTACTGGGCGCACCTATTGGGTGCACTGGCATATGGTAGAAATAATTGGCTCTGGAGAGCAGCTGGAAGAGGAGGCTGCCCAAGAAAAGGTATCCAGTCTAACAGAGAACCTGAAACTACCTACAGGTGAGGTTAGGGGCACTGTGAGCAATTGTGGACACACACACACACACACACACACACACACACACACACACAGAGTTCTGAATTTATGGATGCCACCATTGTTGCTTTCTTTTCACAAGTGGAATGATGGCTTTTTTGGTACATGTCTAGAGAGAAACATTTCTGCTCAATTGCTAAATTAGTAACTTGGTTTTAGGAATAAGTCCTATGGAATGGGGGAAGGCAATGTGACCCCTTTCTTCTGCATGATTGTCCATTTTCATGTGTAATAATGGGGTTTGTCTAATGACTGAAGTTGAATAGCGAAGGCTGTTTCTGGAGTGCCATATACTTTTGATATGTTTTTTCTGCCTTTCTTCCCATAGTATATTAGAGTTAGGGTAATGGGTTCAGGTAAACATTGAAATTTTCACGCTGGGGGTCTACCTGTATACTCAGCATAATCTGTGGCTTGATTCAAAAATTCATAAAGTTGGTAAAAATTCCTAAGGATAGGCAACCTAACACACTCTGGATTACAACTCCCTTCTTCCTGGTCAGTAGTGAGGGGTTATGGGCTCTGTAATCCAATGTATAGGGAGAGTACAGCATTGCCCACCTTAGGCGAAGGCACTTGTAGATAATTTTATCCTCCTCCCAACATTTCTCACCACAGTCTTTTTTTCCTGTTTCTTTAGTCTGGCCCACAAATAATTTTTCATAGGATAATTCAGAGCTCTGCCAGCTGCACAGATGACATTAGTAGCACTGATCTCAGAGTTAGGTTTATTCGCCTGTGCCATAAGACATAATACCACCTTTCCCACATTAGCCATGAGGTAAGAAATCATGGATGGAATTGTAACATGCAACCAAGCAGGTTATCAGCATAGTACTTCATGACAGTTCCGCTTATAATAGTTGCATAAAAGTAATTTGTGGTAATGGTTACTGATAGCAAGCTCCAGTCTCTTGACATTCAGCTGCCTGTCCCTGTCTGTGACCCAGTCTATGCAAAATCTGGTAAATAGATGAAACCATTCCAGCTGTACATTAAAACTGCATATGGTGGAATGTGTCTACAGATAATTGAAGCATTTCCTGCAAATTGGAAACCTGTATATTAGAAAGGTAGAAGCAAGCCCAACTTTTTCTCTGACAGCCTTTATTTGTTTTGAGTGTGGGGTTGCCTTCCATGCACAGAAGGATTCCTCCTGTCAGAGCTCGGCTTTTAGACCAGCACAGGGATCCCACAGGTGGAAATGAGGAGGGAGTCATCTTGACTGATTCCTCTTCTTCCTGCAGTCCCTATTCCTGCCTCATCTTCCCCACTGCTTTGAGGGGTCCTGCAGAACAGTGAGGGGGAGTGGCAGAAGGAGAGGGAATTGGTAAAGATCACCCCCCCCCCCGGGTTTTCCACCAGGAGAAACATTCTGTGTGCACTCTCCTTGGAGAAGCATAGAAGTATTCCTGTATGTGATTCCCTCTTTTCCTCTGATGTGGAAACAGTTTTATCATAAACACCAACAGAGTCTTGTGACACTTTAAAAACTAACCAATTAAGGTATAACCTTTGGTGGACTTTGGCCCATTTTAGAAGATGCATGAAGTACTGTCCTGAATTCTAGCTCCTCACTCACTTTCTGTCTATCCAGGGTTGGGTTGGGTTGGGTGTGAATTGTAACACAGAAAGTACAGTGATAATAACCATATTTATACTGGCCATTCACAAAACAGTGAATGATAGCAGCCATCCTTGCACTGGGGAACTGTATAATACACATAATGTGCTTTTAAACCCCTGTTTAAGCCACAGGAAATGAAGTTAAGTCTCTTGATGAACTGCAGCTTAGCTGTTTCATGCTTTACACTGTGATCTGCTTTTTAAGTTGGCTGAGCACTTACTCATTTTTCGCATCTGCCTTCTCAGCTTCAAATACTCACATGTGTTACTGCCCTTTTTGTCTCCTCCTTTCACTCCATTTCAGTATTTTATACCTTGCTCCGGGAACAGTTTTGGATGGAGCCATAGGCAAATAGCAGCACAGTCACTTGGTTAACTTATGAACTAGGCCTTCATTGCCTGTATCAGAAGGGGCTAGAAAAGCTTACTTCGTCATATTTTTCTGCCTGCAGTGACTCAGACCTTCTACTGCAAACCCCTTGGGGGGCTGTACTCCTTGCCATACCTGTCGGACCAGATGAATGAGAATTCTGGGACCCTGAGCCGGGCTGAATGGTGGGAGCTACTTTTCTTCATTAAGAAGCTAGAACAGCATGAACAACAGGAAGTGGTTCACTACATCCAGCAGAACCACAAAGATCAGGTAAGTGGAATGGGTCTGGCATGAGTCCTCACCCAGCCACAAAACTCAGTGGGTGACTTTGGGCTAGGCACAGATGATCAGCTTAACCTACTTCATGGGGTGGTTATTGTGAGGAGAAAATGGAGAGGAGGAGGAGGACAACGTAAGCTGGCTTGGGTTTCTTGTTACAAAAAAGGCAGGATGTCAGTAGAAGCAGCAGCATGCGACTGTGCTAAAAGGAAGAAATTGGAATGGCACCTTCAACAGTTCTTACCTGTCTAATCATTGTATTCAACATGTGATCTGGTAGCGAGAAACAGCACTCTTTCTCCAGTATATGCCTTAGTTTTCTTGGCGGAACGGTCTTACTTCCTCTGACGTCTCTTAAATGTGGCTGGCTTTGAGAAATGCAGTATTTACAGAGCAAGTCTGGTTGTTTTAACAGTCTTTTGTCTTTCAAGCTGTTGGAACTAGATGAAGAGGGCCTCATCCAGCTGTCCATGTCAGTAGAGTTGGCCCAGCAAGTGCTGCATCTGCTGGACCAGCACTGCCAGGGCTGCACCCGAAACGACCTGCACAGTTCCCACGTCTATCTCAAGTATTCCTTCAGCAAAGGAGCGGCAGAGCAGAGCTGCAAAAACGTGGACATGATCTCTGCGAACTGTGGTGGCCCTTCTGAGGCCATGGCGTCCGAAAAGCCCAAGAAAGAGTCGCTCTCTGCTGAGGTGCCTTCCCCAGCTTCATCCGGAACAGAGAAAACGGACACACAGCTGATCAATGAACTCCTCAAAGCAGAAGGCCTTTCCTTCCCAGACACACTGGATGAGAAGGCCAAAGGTAAGTGCTGGATACCATCTCCCTCCTCCTTTCTCTCACGCATTCATTTTTAGCCAAGTAAGTGCAGGAATTATTTTATTAATTCTGGAGGTTGTGGAGAGTTGTAATGACAAAGAAAGGGTATGATGATGTTGTTAGACTGTTTGAACTGGTGGTTAAAAACCTGTTTTTCTTCTCTGTCTTTTGATCCTGATCAGCCTTCTGTAGTGTGAAGTTTACAGGAAAGAGGAGCTCCTTGGAGAAGTTGGCAGATGTTATAGACATAATCCAGAAATCTAGTTCTGAAGTTACATTGCAGATGGCTGGACTCAGGTTCATCACCAAGATCTTAGAGGATGAACCTGGCCAGGAAAGACAGATTATCAAAGTAGATGGTGGACCTTCAGTCAGGTCAGTATCATTCCTGCCCCTTGCAAGAACTGCAAGAGGGTTGCATGTAATTCCATAGTGCTTGGATCTCGTGAGTAGAAAAGCAAGATCTTTGGTGATTTTTGGTTCCCCTTTCCCCGCGTTTTTTTTTTTTTTTTTGCATGATTCTGGCTCTGTAGGGCTGAGTCCCTCGTAACGCCAAACCGTACCTTTGGCATGAGCTGTTGGGCTTAGCAGTCCTTGTCCAATTTTTGTTTCACCTCAGGTCTATCCAGCTTGGATATAGCTACAAAATTCTGTCCGATATGGACATAACTGCAAAATGTAGTTTGGTATAAACCAAATGATCAGGAAGGAGAAATGTGTATGTTGGCGTGTGTGTGAAAGTGCAGAAGGTGATTTGTACTTATGTAGCACCAATCAATGGTGCAGTTTGTCTGAACTGGTCCATAGTGTGATATATTTGTCAATACAGGTGCACCTGCTTTTTAAAGGAAAAATTAATAAGGGCATGTTTTAGTTATTCATGTTGTAAATCTAAATAGATAAAGCCCAAGGCGGGTATTGTGTTCTGATATAAAGGAAAGTGTATCTGCATATATTGCATATGTTTACATAGTTGAAAACCGCCCAGAGAGCTTCCGTTGTGGCTTAGCATAGAAATGAAATTAATACTAAAGTACATTCTTCTGAATTTGGCATGGCTTCTTCCCCACCATCTGCTGAGCTCAGCTTCTCAGACATGACTCTTCCAGTCACTGCCAACTGTCTTCTGAGTTTGCCTCGGGGGGCACCGTCTAGGTGGACAAATGGGGGCTTCCTCCACCCAGCCATGCACAACTGCACACCTGTAGAATAACAGCCCCCTTTGTTGTCCCCAGGGAGAAAATGGTCAAGATGCTGGTGGAGCTGTTGAGCAACCAAGTGAAGGAGAAGCTGCTGGTGGTGATGGCCCTGCGACTGCTTTATGTGTTCATGGCGAAGTACGATTGGCGCGTTCTCTTTGCCACAGAAGGCGGGGTGCGTGCCGTGTTGGGCTGCATGCAGGAGTATCCCACATCAGCACTGGTGCAGCAGGCTGGCCTGGCAGTAAGTGGGGCATACCAATGGGCAGGGGTTGCCTGCCAGGGAGCAGACTGGAAAGAAGGGTCTCTGATGCCTTCAGCCATTGAAGGGAGGGATTGGCCTGTGGGAGTTCCATTTTTTTGAATGGAATTCTGTAAGTTCTTCACAGTGAATGGTCCATCCTGACTGCTGGACAACAAATAACCGCTAAAACTAACAAAGGGATTTGGGAGATCAATGTTATATAAGTGTGGGATGGGTTACACAGCTCTTTCACAAGAGCTGAAGTCTTACATTGATGCTTTCCTGTAGCAGATGCATATGTAGGAAATTCAGCTTGTGTGGATTGATTTAACCATAAGATGGCCAGGGAGCATAAAAAATGTTGTCAGCACCATGTGGTTAGTGGGATGAGGAGGTATTGGTCAGAAAAAAAAGCATGGGGAGCGAGATGTGCTGGGCTTTGTCCAACAAACACATCTGCAGCACATCTGTGGCAAGGGTTCAAAGGAAGAAATTGCTCTGCTTATTGTTGTCATCTTGATCGAGTCCCTTCTTTTGCATTTGCAGGCGCTGAAAGTGCTGGTAGGTGCTGGGAATTGTGAGCTTCTAGGTACCAGTGGGAAGTCATATCCTCTGAACCATTCGGATGCCCAGATGATGCGAGAGATCTTTGCCAGCATTGGTTCTGCTTCTGGCAAGGATTCGGATAACTTGCTGTGTGCCATCCGCACTGCTATTGAGAAGATGTTGGGCACACCTGGGTAAGGTGAAAAGGGAATTTTGGTGTGATAGAAGACCATTGATAAATCAGCTGGTTTTGCTTGAGTGGACTTTAAGAAGATGGGGGAATTTTGAGAGCTCACTAGTATTGTTGGAGCTTCTGGGATGAGGATTTTTGGTAGGGGGAATTTGGTGGGAATGACATCTTTTCAGTTTCCTTTCTCTAAGCCAGCCTGTCATGCTCTTGATTTGTTGCTGCTGGATTGGTTTTCGGAAAATGCCAACTGTGTGTACGCCTTCTGTTCCTTCTTTTTTCTCCCATCCTCCTGCACAACCCCATATAGTCATGGGGTTGGATCCAATCAGTCACCCTTCACTCCTTTTCTCAGGGCCTCATCAGCAGTCCAAAATGGGCTTTTGGTGTTGAACATGCTGATCAACAATCACAAGGGCCTGGCGGAGCAGCTGGGAAACTGCGACCTTCACACAGTGCTGCAGAGCTGCTGTCAGGCAGGCCAGAGCTCCAACGAGATGTTGGCTCGGATCGTGTTGAACCATCTGGCTGAGCATAAGTTGCCACTGAGCCAAGAAAATGCAGGTATGGAGTGCTCCAAGCAAACTGGTGCCTTTTTGCATTACAGTATTAATGTATGCAAATGTGCCTCACTTCCCTCAGACTCTCCTTTGCAATATTGAAAAGGGTATGCATGGGATGCCTGTGGCTCAGTTGCTAACAGCTTCCGCATGGCTTGTATTCATGACCTTGGAAAAGAGCGGCCAGGTGTGCTCTGTTCCCTACAATACTTTTGATAGGTCTGGGACATGGGTGGTGGGCAGCTGCAGCCAGGACACCAGGAATGGGGTTGAGGGTGTAGGGATGTGGCTTTATATAAGGTGCAGAGGGCCAGAGGCAAATGGCAGCTCTACAATTCGCCTGAGTCAGAAACCAACCGGGCAACAGTGTCCAGGCCGAAGCACAGTTGCAGAACAGGCCAAGGGTCCGATACCAGAGAAATAAGCACCATCAGGAACAGGGAGAGGTCAGGATGGATGGGGTATTGGTATCTGGTAGGGCAGGGTCAGGCTGGAGCAGGAATGGCGGTGGGTGACTTTGGGCAGATAGGGCGGAACTAGGCAAGAGTCAAATAGGCAAGCAGGAGTCAGGCAGGGAAGCACAAAGGGCTCAGTCCATGGCGGGACTGAGAAGCAAGAGCGCAGAATAGCCGCCATGCAGTCTTGTGTTGCTGTGGTGGAAAGGAGCAGAAACAGGAAGGCTTTTTGGAGCTCTCCAAGGCTTCCAGCTGTGTTGCATGATTGCCAAGTACCTGTTCCCTGCAAATACCTACTGGCGTGTTCCTGGTTCTGCACATGCTTGGCGAGTGAACCAGGCTGATTCTGGTTGATTTGTACATGCCTATCTTGTGTATAACTTTCCACTGTTGCTATTGTATCACTCCTTTCTCTGCTTAGGGCACAGATAGAGAACCTCTTTCAGCCCAAGGACTAAATTTAATTTCAGAGAAATTTCTGGAGGCCGTATTGCAGTAATGTGCAGAGCCAAAGGCAGGGCGGACCCAAGCAGCAGAAACACCAGGATATTATACCTCCTAGATAACCAGTGACAAAACCCTTGAAGAATCATTCTGAAATGGGTGAAAAACTATACAGAAGCCAGGAAACTACAAAACAATTAGTGGTTGGGGGAGAGGGAAAGAGCATGGCCATCCAGAGAGAAAAATACAACCTCAGGCCTGAGATTCTGCACTCCCCAGTAGGAGCATGAAAGGAGAGAGAAACACTTCCCAGTGATGCTTCCAGTGGCAATCTCATCATGCATGGTTGCATCTGATCATCAACCAAAGTTTTCTCATGGCTTATTTAAGGAAATGTGCTTTTGACTGAGAAGCACCCCAGCCTATCCTTCATTCCTTTCTTTTTGTTTATCCTCAGAGTCTGAGGCATCCTTTGAGCTCAAGAACATGGACGTACCATCGCTGCTAAGAAACCTTCGTGATTCCAGCTTCTCAAAGGAGGTGGTGCTAGCACTGGAGCACTGTCTGTGTGATGAGGCTGTCAGTCCTGAAGGAAATGGCACTGAGTCCCTGCCGGATCGCGAGAACTTCTTGCTGCTGCTGAAAACCCTAGAACAACTGGGAGCTGAGAAGACTGTGCAGATGGGCATGCTGAGGTGGGGTGGAGAAAACGAGTGTGGCTGTGCCAGGGTTGGGGACACAGAGGATGGGAACCCAGGCATGACACTGCCACGGCTTGGCAGGGCGCAGCGAGGCGGCTTTCAAGCAGGTCTGGGCATGTTGGATGCAGGACAAGAACACGTGTCTTGAGTGGTTTCTCACGTTGGGCCACCTCTTCTGGAGGGTTCCTTTGGATTGCAGGATATCAAGGAACGTTAGCAGAGCACATTTGTTGACAGGCAGTTATGTGAGAGGAAGAGCACTTGGTGCACTGCTGTGGTTGTCATCAAACACAGTGGGTGGTCCTTAAGTGCATGTCAGATTTAAAGGAAGGTATTTCCCAGATACTGTGTTATTTGGTACAAGCTGGACTTCTGGTGCACATAACTTCTGAAGGAACATTAATCCTGGAAGTTCCTAGGGATCTTAAAACTAGAAGAAGAATCATGCTGTTTTGGAAAGAAGGATGTGGTTAGAAATGGAATGTATTCTTGAGCTCTGGGAATCACCCTATTACACTTGGATTGGAGTCCAGGAAGAACTGAATGTCATTCTTCTAACCATCTTCTCTTTGATTTAGGATTTTGAACAAGTTTTTGGACAGTTCCCAAGAGGATATGCTGCCCTGGCATGAGTGCATCGAGCCCTGTCTGTCCTCTATGAGTGCACACAGCAATGAACGGGAGGTGAGGGACTAATTAGAACATGGCTTGAAAGACTGAAAGGAAGCAAGGCTGATGAAAGTAATCTAACATGAGAAATTCTAGTGAGCATGTTTATCAAGTTGCAGATTCCTAACCAAATGCATTTGGAAAAAAATAACTTTTGGTCCCTGCCAGCACTTCAAATGTCAGACTTGAAATGTGCTGGAAAAGGCCAGAGCTGAACTCCAGAACCAGCAGAGCCGACTCAACCAGTGATAGGTGTCTTTGGACAGGCATGCAAATTTCTGTGTGAATAAATGAAGCAATGCCATCACAGAAGACTTGTTAGTAATCATTACATGGGAGCAGTTTTGCCAGTTGCTACTTTTTTGATCACTTCAGGGAACCAGACAGGCAGCTTAAAAAATAAGAGGTTTCTTTTCCTTCCCTTAGTCATCAAATTACTGACTTAAGCAGGCGTGGTCAGTGTGGGCTTTAAAAAAATCCTGTGCCTTTAGCTTTGTGGATTTCTGTGCAAGTCTGATTTAAACTAGTATCCTTCAGTGTACCCTGCCAGATTAAAGCAATAAAGGAATTGACCTGATTCGTGTAATCAAGAGTGGCTACAGTAAGCTACCCTGTGTGCCAGCCAGATTTCCCTAACCGCCTACACTGGTGCAGTCTGCCTTGTCATCAGAACCCAGGCAGCATAGCTTGTTAGAGTTGGCAGTAATACCTACACGAACTGTTTGAGGGTTGCTGCCCACTGTAAACTAGTTTAGGGTTGCTGCTCACCCTACTTTCTGGGCTTGGGTGACACCCTAGCTCCATTCATACAACACAACAAACAACCCCGCATGGTTAGTATACTTTGCATTTTTTTACCACAATGTACTGACAGTCAAGCGGTTTCTACTTTTTCATGGTCTCCATCCTTCCTATTTAGCCCTCCCACTGTTGGCATGTATTCCATCAGCCATTGTGCCTGAAATTCAGTTCAGCTCCCTGCCTTATGTTGCCTGCCTCTTCCTCATTGGTTCACACATAGAGACTGGATGGCTGGATGTATCCTGCAGTTACCACTCTAGTAACTGCATACCAGAACTATGGAAACCATGATGCTGGGGTCAGACAACATGACAAGCCATATTGGTATGGAAAAACCACAGAACAAATAATTGTTTGTTATCCTGGTTTCAGACAACAGGACAGAACAACAAAGGTAAAGAATCACCCTGGTTTGTTGCATTGTCTAAACCATGCTACTGATTAATTTTGAAAATCCTGTTGGCACATACAGCAACTCCAAGAAGCCATGACGGCTTATTTCAGCCATCATGATCATGTGAACTGGGCCACTGAGTTAGATGAAGATGGATAGGAGGCTGTGTGGTGTGCTACATGCCTTCAACATGCAAATAGTACTCTCTTTTCAAATATTATAATGCTGACCAAGAGACTGCACATGCCTGTTGAACAGAAATACAAGATAATCCTGACAATAACAGTTCTGAAGAGGCTATAATCTTATTTTCATCCTTGACTTTTGCTCACCTCCCTGCATAGAGAATCAGTTAATATAGCAGGGTAGCCTTAAACTATTTCTGTGTGATGTAGCTTTTGTGAAGTTAACATCTCAGCAATCAAGTGTAACAAGAGGTTGACCACTCTGAATAAGGCCATCTTTTTATATTGTATTTATATAGCTTCTAATCTTTGTAAGCCACCCAGAGAGCCTTGTTTATTAGGTGGTATAGAAATGTGATAAATGAAATTATATTGATGTCAGGCTTCCTTGGTAATTTCAACACATAGACCATCAGCCAGAGCTTACACTAATTGAGCTATATATTGATTTTTAAACCAAATAGAGACAGGACCGGGAATGCTAAAGCAACCTAGATGCATTTGAAGATGCAGGCTGGCTTCAACACGTTTTCCCAGAAAGGAGAAAGCTGGGTAGACTCTAACAAAGTGGTAGTTGTCTCTGGAAATGGAGACTGGAAAGGGGAACAGAGAAACAAAGGAAGGTTCTGATGTGCTAAAAGCCATCCAAAGTGTCTGTGAAAAAGCTGGATAGAGAAGCCAGCCCCCTGTGCACTGCCAGTGAAGCATTGCTGTCCTTTTCTCAACAGGTTGTGCAGGAGTTCATCCGTTTCTTACATCGTTTAGCCACCACCAACAAAGACTGTGCTGTCGTGATGTGCCGGGTGGGAACAAAGGAGGCCCTGACCAAAGCTATGGACAAGCACAACTCCAATCTGCTGCTAGTGACTGAACTACGTGACCTTGTGACCGACTGTGAGAAATACGCCAGCCTTTATAAGAAGATGACAACCAGCATCTTGGCCGGTTGCATCCAGGTGACACTGACATCCGCTGCATGGGTTGGGATGACTGGTCAGTGAAAAGGCAGGACACAGAATATCGATAGTTTGGTCAGCCATGTTTGGAATAAACCTGAGCAGAGAGAGGCCAGTGTTGCAGAAGTTGTGCTCTTTTATGGTTGTGGAATTTCTTCTCTGTTGGATGCATTTGGCCTGAATTATTTAAGGGGAAAAAATTAAAGTGCATGCAATGTGATTTCAGTGTTATATTATGTAGATACATTTATTGGAATATTTGCACAATTCAGAGACTAGCATGTGCTTATATGGTTTAAATCAAGAAAAGGTCTTGAAAAGTGTTGATACACTAATTCAGCTTCCTCAGCTTGGTGTCCTCCACATATGCTGGACTGCAGCTCCCACTGGCCTTCAGTCAGCCTGTCTGGCTTGAGCAGCGAGGAGTTAGAGTGGAGCACATATAATTAACTTTAACAATGCAGGAACTGCGCCTTATATTCTGACAACCACTCATCTGTTCCTACGGAGTTCAGTTCTCTTCCAGTGCAGTCTCTAGGGCAGCTTCAGTTTCACTGTCATTACTTACTAGTAGCTTATTCGTAGTGTTTCACTGTGGGACTTATTTGCATTTCAATGACATTGTATTTTCTCACATACTTTTTAGAGCTTGTCACCTGAAAAACATTGGAAATGTGAAGCTACCAAGTATTACAATATTGTATTTGCAGTTTGCGTCCATTCATTCTTTTTACTAATAAATGTATGAAAAGAAACACTTTCACAGAAAAGGAAAGCTCTGGAAAATGTTCTGCTGCACATCACTGGTAGCGTACAGAGTAAAGAGCAAATTATAATCAGGTCTGGTGTTCCATTAATGCCTTTGTGTCTTCTGTTGCCTTCCTTGTTTCTGCAGATGGTCCTAGGCCAGATAGAGGAACACCGACGCAGCCACCAGCCTATCAACATCCCTTTCTTTGATGTGTTCCTGCGCAACCTTTGCCAAGGTGAGTTACCCAGAGGTAGAGAACGTAACCTGTGTGAGCCTGCTTAGGTAAGTTCTGCTCTTCTCCAGCTGTAGGTGTATTTATTTTGTGGCTTAGGTTCCAATGTGGAGGTGAAGGAGGACAAGTGTTGGGAGAGGGTGGAAGTCTCCTCCAACCCCCACCGAGCCAGCAAGTTGACAGACAGGAATCCAAAGACATACTGGGAGTCTAATGGCAGCACAGGCTCCCACTACATCAATGTCTACATGCACCGTGGAGTGGTAATCAGGTGAGTTCCAGTAGGAGTCTTGGCTAGAAATTTCCCTGGGCAAGTGGAATTGGGGCTTCCCAAGGCAACAGACAAAGGCTAGCTTTCAGTAACGGTACAGGTGGCATTCACAGGATTAAGGACAAGCTCAGATATTAGTTGGCCACTTGATTTCTTTGTATTCTGAGTGATTCTTTAGGAGTGGAGACAAATGTGAATTTTGTGGCTATTTAATATACCAGAGTTAAATGCTTGTGCCCAGTGCTTTTTTTGTAAGAAAAAAGGTGCTGGAACTCATGAAATTATTAATCTTTCGCATGTAGTCAATCACTGTACACACACCCACACACGTCAGTTGTGTAACGAAACAACAGTTGCTGCCCACAGTAAGCACTCAGCGCGCGACCACATGACAAATCACAAGCCGAGCAGCGCCACAAGCCGAGCAATGCCATCACAACCAGCGCGGATGAAGTACGCGTGTATCAGATTTGACACACAAGCATCCACACCATTTTAATGATTTTGCCACCGACCTGCTACACTCAACAGGGCGATTCAAATCCATGTGGACTAAACATCAAATTTTCAAAACTTACTTTTAAAACTTGAAAAATATGTCAAAAAACGGTGCCGGAACTCTGTTCCGGTGCGTTCCATGACAAAAAAAGCACTGCTTGTGCCTATCCCAGAAGATAATCTATTTTGTTGTGTGGAGGTTATTTGGATTGCCAAAGGCACTCTTTCTCTTCTACTGCAGACAGATGACTTTGCTAGTGGCAAGTGAGGATTCCAGCTACATGCCAGCAAGGATTGTGGTCATGGGAGGAGAGAACGCATCAAATATCACCACTGAACTCAATACTGTGAGTGCTCCAGTCTTTCTAATTGACCTACTCTTTTCTGGCCATGGACTTCAGGACTGAAGGCCTTACTTCTGAAGGGTCCTTACCATCTTGAGATGTAGGCCCAAGTCATCAGTCATTTATGTAGACCATGCTCATGTGTTGAACTGCTCAACCCTGGATTGATATCCTATTGAACTGCTGAGAAGTGTTCCCTTGAAAGAAGGCCATGCTCCAGCTCCCTAAGGAGGCCACGGTAGCTCCTTCATTAGCTCCCACACCCCTTGATCATTACTTGCCAGTCTCTAATCTCCAATTTTTGGATAAATGTTCGGAGCAATTGGTGGCCTCAGAATGTCAGATTTTCCTGCATGAAACAGATTGCCTGGATCATTTTTAGTCTGGGTTCAGGGCTTGTCTTGCAATTATTTACAGCAGGAGGTAGAGAGTAGAAATGCATCCTTGTTAGATCTGCTGGCCTTTCAACCATCTATCATGGTGCCTTTCTAGGATGCTTGGCCAGAGTGGAGAAAACATGTTGCAGTGGATTGATCCAGGTGGTTTTACGGAGACTGCTGCTCTGCCCCTTGTTCTCAGACCCACGGGGTTCCTCAGGGCTCTGTTTTGTCCCCTATGCTTTTTAACACCTACATGAAGCTACGTATGGTTGCGTTCAGAAGTAACAAGAGAAACTACTCTCTGAAAGGCTCAAAACTCCCCAAAAGGCTTAAATCAGTTGAAAGATTAGGTGTCACATGGCTTTGTGCTTTCTGCTAGACCAGATTTCCTTTCTATTAGCATGAATTCTTCCTTTCTGCTTCTTTTATATGGAGCAGCTTCTCCCCTGTTCCAACATTCTACACATCACCATTCTTAAATTATTTTTATTTAAAAAAAATTATAGTGAATCTTAATAAATAAAAAATGCAATAAATAAAATGTTGCAGTTTTATAGCATAAGGCTTGGAAATATTCATATCCAGCGTGTATTCCTGTATATGTCATATGTAAGATGCTATTCTGCTGTTCTTGGGCATATTTATGCATAGACTTCAACTAATGTTGACCAGATAGCCATATATTTGGCCACTTGTAGATTACAGTTAAAGCCCACCCATTCAAAAACTGAAAGCATCATTAAATCTACAACCTATAGTATTATTGAAGGTCCCTCCGATGTTGTAATATTGGTCTTTCAACTGTCAGAAAGGTGTGGAAAATCCATTTATATTTACCTTATATTGACCTTGTGTTAGAAGCAGGTAAGTAATTGAGAAGTATATTTGTCAAAATTAAATAACTTACCATCATAAAATTTATCTGGGTTATTATCTTCTCCCTCAAAAAAAGCTATTGGGCAGTGCCAAAATATATTTGTAAAAGAAGCATTGTTTGTGTTTTACCTTCAACTGTTGGCTGATCATTCCTTAGTATCTCAGAATCCTTATCATTTCTTGGCTGATAAATCCGTAGTATGCCTGAGCATATTTTTTGCTGAATTAAATCTAAGATAAAAATAACCCTTCTGAAATAGATGCCAATGCAGCAATCCACTGATTGGGTAGTATAGAACAATGAATTTTGTTATCCAGTCTTGCTTAAGATCTTGTGTATCATATATATTCACACATTTATAAAGGTGGATAATGGGTCAATTAGCCTTAATCAGTACTCCCCATAACTGAGGGTCCTCTGAAGCTGTATCCTAGATTCAAGGAAACGTTTCAGTCGCATGCATTACCATTCATAAAATGCGAGTTGCATTACATGACATAAGGCTGTAGTAAGAAAAACTCTAGTTTTTTACATCCATGGGGAACACTTCCATAAAGAAGCACTTGCTTCCTTAGTGGTCTCCTGTGAATGATGCAGGATTGCAGTAGCACATCTGTGTCCTGGTGAGACTTTGCTGTTTTCCTAATAGGTGAACGTCCTGCCTTCAGCCAGCAGAGTGGTTCTTCTGGAGAACATGATCCGCTTCTGGCCCATCGTACAGATCAAAATCAAGCGTTGTCAGCAGGTAGGGCGATGCATTGAACATACAGCAAAACAGACGGAGTAGTTTGAATAGGTCTGGCTGCACACCTTTCTGCACAGCCCGTTTTAGTGCACGGGTTTAATTCAACATGCAGCATCAACCCAGACAGCTATCCTCAAATTAGTAGAAGTGTTTTCAGGAGTATGGCATTTTTCAAACGTTTGCTTTGAAGCATTATAATTGGAAAAATACAGTACTTTCTCAAAGGTAATAGATTTATTGCCACAGTAATAGTTGCATGGAATGAAGCTGCCCAAGTTCTGGGGAGAGGAGCAAAGTGCAGTTTTTCTGGTGAGCAACTGACGAGGAAAGTGATGTTTATTTGTTGCTCTTCAGCTCAGTCATATTTCACCAGTTGCTCAAGCAGGTTGCACTGGTTTTGGGAAGCGGGGTGGAATCTTGTTCACTTTTCTTTGTGTATGTGTGTAAATTTGGAGTTTGGGCACTCTACTACACAACTCATACCAAGGAGAGCATGGTTGTTTTGGAACAGACAATCAGTAGTTTCCCTACAAAGGAGTGTTACACACACACACACACTGCAGTTCTGTTTTAAGTAGCTGGAATCCTTTTGGCCTCTGTTGTACTAACATGAATTTCAGAATTATTGCTCAGTGATGAAACTTGGGTTGTGTCCTACTCTTGAATGATCATGTGGAAAGGTACTTGGAGATAATTCATTATTAGGGGAGGGGTTACTGCTGTGTAGGACGTGCAGTGCTCCATCACTGAGGCTGGTGGTGTTCCCAGGGCGGCATTGACACGCGAGTGCGTGGCCTCGAGGTGCTGGGGCCCAAGCCCACCTTCTGGCCCATCTTCAAGGAGCAGCTGTGCCGGCGCACGTACCTCTTCTACACCACCAAGGCGCACACCTGGTGCCAGGAAATCTCTGAAGATCGAATGCAGCTGCTGCAGCTGTTCAGCAGGTCAGGCTTTCCCCCTCCTCTCCCCAGAGCTGCTCTCAGGGAGGGTTTGGAGGAGGGATCCCGGGGCAGAGCAGGACCGGGCAGGATTTGGTCCCCAGTCGGCAGCAGAGAGGGGCCGGTGTGCCCCCGAGGCCCCCTTCTCTGAGAATCGGCTTTGCCTTGTCCCTCCCCTTCATCTGCATCCCTCACCTTGTCCCTGCCCCTGCCCCTGCCCCTGCCCCAGCCCCGGCACGTGCTCCCCCTGTGCATTACTAAGCCCCCCTGCCCACACCCTTTGTGGCTACTGAGGTTTTGCTCAGAACAGTCGTTAACGCCACTCGTCTGCCTCTGCAGGCTGAACAGCGCCTTGCGCCACGAGCAGGTGTTTGCCGACCGCTTCCTTCCCGACGACGAGGCCGCCCAGGCTTTGGGCAAGACCTGCTGGGAGGCGCTGATCACGCCCCTGGTGCAGAGCATCACCTCCCCAGGTACGGGGCCCCTTCCTGCCCAGGGACCGGGGTGGGCAGGCTTGGCCATCCCTCCCGCTTCCCAGCTGCCGCCTTGACTCCTGCCTCTTCCCGCCCTTCCAGATCCCAGCGGCATCAGCCCCCTGTCGTGGCTCCTGAGCCAGTATTTGGAGAACGTGGAGGTTGCCCGGCGCACCAAGAGCCGGGCCGCCGTCTTCAACTCCCGTGTGCGGCGCCTGAGCCACCTGCTGGTCCACGTGGACTCGAGCAGCCCCGAGCCTGAGGACCTGAAGCCCCCTGTCAAATCCAGTGAGTGCCCCCCCGGCCCATGGGGCGGGAGGGGCAGGCACTCCTTCCTGAGTCGAGGGCGGGCGGAGAAGCCGTGCAGGGGAGCCCTTGTGGGCAGAAGGCAGAGCACCAGTCCCCCTGGGGGCTGTGAGGGGCCCGGCTCCTTAGGGAAGGGCTCAGGGTGGTGGCACGCAGGCCTTGTTGTGGGGGGGCCCGGTCGGCGGTGGGAGGGCAGGCGCGGGGTCCTGGTGCCCCCGTTCACGCTGCGTGGCCCACTTTGCAGATGGGAAGAACGGCAGGAACAAGGAGCTGGGCTCAGGCACTGCCAAGGCCACGGTGAAGAAGCCCAGCAGCACGACGGGCATCACGCAGTGCTGGAAGGGCGTGGTCCAGCAGCAGGTAGGGTGGCCGGGGGCTGGCGCCTGGCCGGCAGCAGGCGTGCGGGTGCCCTTGCTCCCTGCTGGCCAGGGGAGCATCGCTGCGCGGGCCCCTCTCATCGCGGGGGAAGGGGGGGAGAGGGAAGCAAACAGCATCTTGAAACAGTGAGGATTGTGTTCTTTCTCCCTTTTAATGAATGTCAGCAACTTCAAGTTGTCAGCTTGCCATCGCTGAAGTATTCATAGCTTTAACTTAAGCATAGCTGATAGGTGATATTATAACTGAGTTTAATTTCAAATATGAATCCAACATCATTAGCAGGCCTCCTGTTTGATTCGTCTTCATTTAAGCAAATGAAAGAGAAATTGCTTCTTACTTTTCAAGGGCTTGCTTTCAGAAGATTTATCGCTAATAATCCTTTGACTTGAAAGAGAAAAGAGAAAGAAGAACGTCAAGTTCTAAAAACAACACACACACACAGATAGTTTTTAGACTTGGGGAGCCTACCTTATCTGGCTGTCCTGATAATCTGAGTGCATCAGACCCTCTTAGCATGAGCCTGGCCACTTCACCTGTCAGAGCAGTCTCCCGAGGGAGAGGCTGGAGAGGAATGTCTCTTCTCACCCGCATGTCCATGTTGGAGCAAGATAAGATGCCAGGGCACTCCGTGGGTGCTACTTGGCAGACTGCCATTTTCTCGGCCCCGCTGAGCGCGCTGGCCGGGTGTGGGTTCTGGTCCGTTCACGCTGCTCCTGCTGCCCCGCCCAGGTGAAGCGGTTCCTGGAGTCCTCGTGGCAGGCCCCCGACTTCGTGGAGCGCTACTGCAGCACCTACCAGCGCCTGCGCACGGCCATGGAGGAGCTCTTTGGGCAGCAGATGTCCTTCATGCTGGCCCTGTGCCATGGCTTCTCCGGGGGGCTGCTGCAGCTCTCCTTCCTGACGGCCATGCACGTGAGTAAGGGGGCGATCGGGTGGGCGCTGCCCCAGCTCACGGCAGGGAAGGGCTCCTTGACCTGCAACCTGTCAGCCCCAGGTCCCCCCGTCCCTGCCAGTTGTGGGGTGGAGGACGTCAAGTGGAGCTCCATTTCCTGGTGCAGAGCCTCGTCTTGATGCCAGCTCAGTCCGCCTCCCAGTCTGGGCTTCGCGTGTGGGCTCTGCCCCAGGGAAAGGGGCCTCCCTTGGAGGTTGTGTGGCAGACCGTCCGTCCTTCTGCTGGGAGCAGCTCCTCCTGACTGGTTCATCTGGAGCTTGCTGCTCTGCCCTGCAGGTGAGCGAGCAGTTTGCCCGTTACATCGACCGGTGGATTCAAGAGAGCTGGGCGAATTCCGGCAACGTGGAGAGCCTGCAGCGCCTGCAGCAGAGCCTGGAGCCCATCCTCTTCCTGGCAGGCCTCGAGCTGGCCAACACCTTTGAGCACTTCTACCGGTGAGGCCCTCGCGGTGGGGGAGGTGGTGTGGGCCTCTAGCTGGGGGCAAGAGGCAGCCTCCGGCGGGAGCCCCTTGAACAGGGGCGGCAGGCGTCCTGCTGGCACTTCGGGATGGGTGGCGGTTCCCAGGGATGCGCGCTGCTGCGCCTTCTGTGCGCAGGGTGGGTGGCCGTGGCCCTGGGGGGAGCGGTGGTGGGGTGTGGAGCGAGGCGAGCTGGAGCGCTCCCGCTGCGTCACCTCTCCCTGCACTCCTCGCCTCGCCAGGTACTACCTGGGGGACCGGCTGCTGTCCCAGGGCAAGACGTGGCTGGAGACGGCCGTGGTGGAGCACATCGGGCTCTGCTTCCCCAACCGGTTCCCTCAGCAGATGCTGAAGAACCTGAGCGAGCTGGAGCAGCAGCAGCAGCAGTTCCACCTCTTCCAGCTGCAGCAGCTCGACAAGCATCTGCTGGAACTCGATCAGCGTGGAAAACAGGAGGAGGAGGCGGAGGAGGAAGAGGAAGCAGTGGTGAGTGCGGGGGGCAGGAGGATCGCGTCTCCCAGGGCCGGATCGTTCCCCACAAGCCAAAGAGCTCCACATTGCCAGGCATTTTTGCCTTCCCCTTCTGCTCCCTGCTGGTTGGTCTGGCCAGGGGCCTCCAAGGCCAGGAGCCTAATGCTGGTCCCACTCGCAGACGATGGAGGTGGAGCCGTTCCCTCAGGAGGAGGAGGCTGACGTGAAGGTGCTGGCTTTGTCCCCACGCTGCTGGACCATCTCACCGCTCTGCTACCTGGAGGAGCCTGCCCGGTTTTTCCCGCCATCCCTCAGCCAGCACCTGAGCAAGTTTGCAGATTTCTACACCCAGAGTGAGTGTCGAGGTGTCCTTGGGCCTCCCTGGGCCCGGCAGGGCAGGGCGGTCCCTGCAGGTTTCCCATGGGCTCAGCTGGGGCAGGGCGGTCCCTGCAGATTTCCCGTGGGCTCAGCTGGGGCAGGGCAGGGCAGGGCGGTCCCTGCAGATTTCCCGTGGGCTCAGCTGGGGCAGGGCAGGGCAGGGGCAGACGCCCAGAGACACTGCGCCTGGGGAGTGTCCGCACGTTGCAGATGAGCGGCATCAGGCTTTCGACAGGAGTGACAGAAAAGCTCTGGGAGAGCGTTGCGTCTTTGGGCCAGATTGAATAGCTGAGAGGCAGCAGTGGATTTAAGGAACCCCCCAGGCAAATAACAAGCCTTGTTGGGCTAGATCCAGGGCGAGAGCTGCAATATCCTGTGCTTTTGAAGAGAGAGGGCAGCCTCGCCCGGGGACTGCAAATGGGCGTCCCTCCTTTGGCCCCTCGCGATCGCTGCCTTGCGAGGAAAGGAGCCTTACACGGTGCCCAGCCGGGCGCTCACAGCCCTCTCTTGGCTTCGTGCGCACGGGCGTCCCTGAGACCCTCCTCTCCGTCCCTTGCAGGTCAGAGCCGCTTCGGACAAGAGCACACCAAGCCGCGACGTTTGCAGTGGACGTGGCTGGGCCACGCTGAGCTGGAGCACCAGGGCTGCGTCCTGCACGTGTCCACTTTGCAGATGTACATTCTTCTGTGCTTCAACGACGCTGAGGTCCTGACGGCCTCCTCGCTCTCGCTCTCGCTCTCTCTTTGCCAGCCTGGCTTTCTGTGGCTCTGGGGATGGGATCCTTTCCCTTGAAGCAGTTGCCCACGATTAAGTTGAAATTTCTGCACATTAACGGATAAGCGCACATCCCAAGGGTCGGTTGTGCACGAGAGCACAGCCCATGCAATGTGCACCGGATGCGTTCCCACGGGGGCAATTTCTGTATTACTCAGATACTCCCACTTTGCTCTTTGGCGTAAAGTTACACAGTTCGGGCCATGGCTGAGGTCGAGGAGTGAGACGCATTTCTGCTCACCGGCCTGTCTTTAGCCAGGGATCGTGCTGGAATCGCCTGAGATTTGGGCCGTGGGTGGCTTCTGGATCATGTTGGCAGGTGTTTTGCAGAGTCGGGCATCCACTGCCCAAAGATTTACTGAGTGCCCGAGAGCCTGAGATCACCTGTTCGGAGATAGCCAGCCTCTCCATCGCCTGCAGCGCCAGGATCTCCGACTGGCCTGCAGGTTGAAGGCTGAAGCTTGAGGCAGCATCCCATGCACAGTGATGGCGTGGAGCTGCACGCTCCTCTTTATCTCTGCTTCTCTCAGTGTACTCAGCTTCCTTTCCTGCTCCTCTGTTGGCTGTAGGAGGTTTCTGTGGAAGTTCTGTCGCAGGAGACTGGTCTCTCCCCCGTCCTCCTCAGTCACGCATTGAATCCCCTGACGAAAGAGAACGGGATCCTGACCCAGAATCAGAGTAAGTGTGGAGGAGGAACCGCCAGGTAGGGGGTCTTGACCCGGCATGGTGGGCCGGATCCTGACTTTCTGCTTTATCCATGGACCATGCGGTGTGCCAGCTCTGGATGGGGAAGCCGAAGGGGATGTCCCAAGCCAGACATCTCCAAGAGCAGCTCATTGTGCGGCTTCAGGAAGCCTGAAATGCCTTTGCTGCAGGTAAATGGGCATCTCTGCTTTGGTTCTAGGTGTCCTGAGGCTGAACGAGGTGACGCTGTCTCAGGTGTCGGGCCAGCACCTGTGGCTGTTGCCCAAACAGACATACCTGAATGTGGAGGAGAACGAGGCCAGCGCTCTGGAGAGGAAGAGGAACATCATCTGCTGCCTGCTCATCCAGATCCTGAAAGAGGAGAAGGAGATACACATCGACAACTTGGTGTTCCGAGTAAGGCGTGTGCGGATGGGGCCTTGCAGCTTCCTCCAGCTGGTAGCCAGAGCAGGGACTAATTCACTCTCTGTACCTCTCCCAGGTGATGGATGCCTGCCAGAAATGGGAATCCGGCTCAGCTCTGAAGTTCTTGAGCTTCTGTTGTAGCAGTACTGATGTCCTGTCCTGCATCTTGCATCTGCTGAACCAGGGCTACATCCGCCGTCAGGAGGACAACCCACAGCTCCTGGAGTACATCTCTGTAGAGCCCACCACACCTCACCGGGGGCAAGCACAGCTCATCTTTCAGAGCACAGATTGCCAGAAGGAAAAGGGCCCTTTGGAGACCGATACAGCCCACAAATGTTCTCCGTTCAGGTATTTTTAAGAACATACTGTGCATAACAGTAGGAACAGGCCCTGTCTGCATGCTCTTGATAAGAAATTTGCTTGCTGCTAGGTTGGATGCCTTTGGCCTTGGCACAGAACAAGTGCTGATGGAAACGGTATTGCTGCCCATGGGACGCACAATGAACCAAGAAGAGGTTGGAGCACTGATGACTCAGACTGTGGAAAGGGTTTCGGATACTCTGAGTGTGACTGCAGATATAGCCCAGCACCTGCTGATACACTGCAAGTGGAATGTGGATGTCCTGATCCAGCGCTATACGGAGGATCCGGAGCTGCTGCTGTTTTCGTCAGGGCTGCAAGTGCGGAACCCCCAGCCACCCTCAAGCCCTGTCACCCACTGTCCAGTGTGTGTAAATCCACTGAGCCAAGCAGACAATCCACCTGTTCTCTGCTGCATGCACTACTGCTGTAAGGTGAGGATCTACTGTCCTGATGGCAGGCAGGCAGGCAGGCAGGCAGGCAGGATTCCCCATGCCCTGCTCTCACTTTTGCATGTGAGAACAGTTTCTTTCAGCAGTTCATACTGAAAATGCATTAGAAGAGGCGAAGGTGTAGTTCACCACCGCTTTTTCTGTGCAGTGCACCCAGTCTATATTCTTTTGTCCCTGTATCCATTCAGCTTACTTTGAGGCTCAAATGGTTGTCTCACTATCCAAATCCATGATGCAATTTTGTCACCTTTTGGAACTGATGCCCATCCTTATCTCTGAATTACTTGTAGGTTTTGGGAAATGATTTTGTCCTGTGTGGGCAGCAAGGCGTATTGCTGCCTGCAGTGTACTTGATGTCATGCATATGTTTAGATCTAGCCATCCTTTATTTTCCTTCCTCTCAATTATTTAAACTAGTCCTGCTGGAATGAATACTTGACAACTCGCATCGAACAAAATCTGATTCTGAACTGCACATGTCCCATCTCCGACTGCCCTGCACAGCCCACTACTGATTTTATCCGGTCTATCATTTCCTCCAAGGAAGTCATTGCCAAGGTAGGCACAACAGTTCTAGTAGGAATGATGGGAGGTGCAGTCATCTGGAGGGCACCAGGTGGGGACAAACACAGGCATAATCCATGGGAAGACTGACTAGCACTCATCAAATCAATGGGAGATTATGAATACAGACATTGTTGTGCCGAAAGAACACCTAGCTTGGGATCTGCTGTAATAGGTCATGCCAATAAAATTATTCCATGATTGCTAGAATCCGTAAGACCTCCCTGCTGTCTGTGCCCCATGTTGCAGAACATCTCATCTCCACAATAACTTACTTTGGAGGCATTTGGAGCAATATGCTGTGCAAGTGCTTCGTCCCATCAGTTAGATGCTGTGTTCAGGACTCTGGGATGGTCTGCTTTGGGAGGAAACTGGACGATTCCCTTGCTTTGAATCCAAGCAAAGCAAAGTGAAAGCTCCGTATTATTAATTTTTATGTACTAAGTCTTCCATTTACATGCAGTTTGCAAATTAGCATATTTGCTTATTTTGCGTTACTCTGATTTTTGCTATTCAGGAGGAATGGGAAGGGAAACTCAGTCCCTAATCACTGAAAATTCTATTGGGCATTTTCATACCCACATCATTCTGATATGCTCCAAAGAATTGCACTGAAATGTGTTCTTTTTAAAAAATAGTTCCCCTTTGTCAAGGAGATCACATTTCTTGAAGGCATTAGAGTAGCTATTCTCATACAGGTTTTTATTGACTCTCAGTTTTATAGGGCATCTAATATGTTTACCACTTATAGGTCAACAGTGGTTGTCCTGCTGTACTAGGATAAGTAGCACCTTGTTGCTCTTGAACTAAGAGATAAGCCCTTGAATCTTGACAGGGACTTGACACTATCAAGTTTAGAAGGACTTTCAGAAAGGGAAGCTCATTTCTTACTGTTGTAACTCCAGACCTTTCTATTTAAATAGTTCAGGGAGAGAATGAGTGGGAAGGGAGAGAGGAGATGTACCAATTCTACAGATTGGAAATTGGGTCATAGAGAAGAGCAATTGCTTGCGTGGGTTTCTGAGTAAGAGTTTTAACATTGGTTGTCCACTTTGTGAGCCTCTCGGGAACTGTTAACAGCTATTATTTTGGAATAAGAGAGCCAATGTGATGTAGTGGTTAAGAGTGTACAAAAGAAATGAGAATGTAAAAAGGTGCTATATAAAACCAGCGGTGATACATATGGAATAAATACATTTCAATATTGTTTAGACTGATTGTCCAGCATCTTCTAGAAGATCCCATTATTGCAAAAAAAGATAATGAACTCAATCTATTTTAAGCATAAATTGCTAATTTTACTAATTTGATTGCCACATTTTATCAAGCCACTCTATTAGAACCTTGTCTGATTTCTATTAGATAAAACACATTTTTTGTTGCCCAAGTAATAGTTATTTTCAGCATTTTGACATGATCTTTACCAAGTGGTAGAACTTCCAGGTTAGTGGGAAAATCAAACCAGCTATTCTGGTTATGGTCAGCATCCAAGTCTGCTTGAACACTTGATCTCTCGTTGTTGTTGTTTTTTGCACAGTGGTTTCTAATTATCCTCAGCAATTCTTCACATCACTTAGGGGATGAACTACCAGAAACATAACTACAGCTGTTGTGAAGGAACCCCAAAAGTGACTCCTGTATCTCTCTCTCTCTCCAGTATGAGAAAGCGCTCCTGAGGGGCTACGTTGAGTGCTGCTCAAACCTGACCTGGTGCACCAACCCTCAAGGCTGTGATCAGATTCTCTGCAAGGAAGGCCTTGGCTGTGGAGAAGCCTGTTCAAAGTGCTCTTGGATCTCCTGCTTCAACTGCAACTTCCCAGAAGTAAGGCTAAGATAAGGAGGAAGAAAGGGCTGTATATCCTTGCAGAACAATTCCTCTGGGTTTTTGCTCGACATGCAGTTCCGTCTGTGTTTTCCATGTAGGCACACTACCCTGCCAGTTGCAGCCACATGTCCCAGTGGATGGATGATGGTGGATTCTATGAAGGGATGACTGTGGAAGCCCAAAGCAAGCATCTTGCCAAACTTATCTCCAAGCGCTGCCCAAGTTGCCAAGCTCAAATAGAGAAAAATGAGGGGTGTCTACAGTGAGTACCTTTTTTGTGTATTTGTTGGCGTAGAGGGTAGAAGAAAGATGGCCAAGACAAGCAGGTGTGGCTAGCTGGGGTCTCCCCAGTATTTCTTGGCTTGTTGGCTGATGTATAGCTGCACTCATGTTAGATGGTTGCGTTCACCTGGCCTACCATCCTTGTCTGAGAGCTGGAAGCTATTTAACATCTTGTTAAAGCTATTTAACATCTACATGAAACTGCTGGGAGAGGTCATCAGGAGGTGTGGGCTGCAGAATCATCAGTACACTGATGATGCCCAGCTCTACCTCTCTTTTTCAGCCAATCCAGGTGAGGCAGTGGCTGTACTGAACCGGTGCCTGGCCGAGGTAATGGGCTGTATGAGGGTCAATAAGCTGAAGCTCAATCCAGACAAGACGGAGGTCCTGTTGGTGGGTGGTTTGGGCTCTGGGGTAGTAGGTGACTTGGACTTTGTCCTGAATGGGGTTGCACTCCCTCTGAAGGACAGGGTCTGCAGCTTGGGAGTGCTCCTCGACCCAGGGCTGTTTTTGGAAGCTCAGGTTACTGCGGTGGCGAGGAGCACTTTCCTTCAGCTTTGGTTGATCCATCAGCTGCGTCCCTACCTGGAGAACAATTGCCTGGCGACAGTGACACACGCATTGGTTACTTCCCGACTGGACTTCTGTAACACACTGTACATGGGTCTGCCCTTGAAGACGGTCCGAATACTTCAGATGGTGCAAAATAGAGCTGCCAGGTTGCTGATGGGGACTGGGCGTTATTCTCACGTAACCCCAGTCCTCTACCATCTTCACTGGCTCCCCATCGAAGTCCGGGCCCAATTCAAGGTGCTGGTTATCACCTATAAAGCCCTTAACGGCTTGGGACCTGGATATCTAAAGGAGCGCCTGCGTCCATATTTGCCCTCCCGCCACTTGAGATTGGTGGCAGAGGCCCTTCTCCGGGAACCCTCCGTGAAAGATATTAGGAGGGGTTTCTCTGCGGTGGCGCCCCACTTATGGAATGCGCTCCCCAGAGAGGTCCGCCTGGTGCCGTCATTATTTGCTTTTCGGCACCAGGCCAAGACCTTGTTATTTAATCGATATTTTAATAATTGTTGATTTTATTTATTGGTTTTAAAATATTGAGCCAGGATGTTTCCAGATTTTATATGTATGTATTTGTATATGTATTTACTTATGATGTTGGAAGCCGTCCCAAGGCTTATGCGAATGGGACGGCATACAAAAATTCCAAACGAACAAACAAACAAACAAAGCAGTCGACTTGTGCCTTCCTGTTTGTTCATGAGGCAAGAGGCTGTAGGACAAGGAAGGAGATTCAAGGGCAGTGGATTTTCAGTTCATTCATAGAATATTTGAAGATTTCAATTAGTCGTCAGGCCTTAGTAGTGGCAAAAGAATGCTAAAGATATTCTCAGGCTAGATAAGATATAATGACAATCACTTCTGCCTCTAAAAGAGGAAGGGTATACATTTGGGCAGGAAAGTGACTTTAAGGAAATTTGAGTTCTGTCATTCACTGAAGAAAAGGCAAAGCAGACATTTAATGATTTTGTTAATATATATGCTGATGAAAGATTTTTATTTGGACAACCTAGCACACACAAAATGGTAAAGATATCTAATAGCTAAAATGTAATTTTAAACACACACACACACTACAGGCTAAGACCTAGAAGCAACCTTTTAATGAACAAACTAATTGCCCATTGGAGCACCTATCCACAAGATTGTAGTGTTTGTAATGCAGAGTGCTTTGAACTGGGACTAAATGTTCTTAGGAATATTATGTAGTTCAACCCTTGTTAGCATGCATAAAATCCTTCTTGGAGGCATCTGTACCCACATGTAATTTTAGCCAGTCGCTCCTTTACTGTTAAATGCTCTTAGGAGGAGTCACTTTGGAATGGGAAATAGATTGATGGGAAGGCCACGTTTTAGTATTTCTGCTCTCAGCTGTTCTCCTAAAATTTCTCTTTGTAAGTGGGTCTTAAAGCTCACTATGTAGAGTAAAATGGGTCTGGAAGAATCATGGAGGAAATGGTTTGAGGAGAGAAAGGGAAGGGTTAAGTCTCAGAAAGAGGAAGAACTTTGCAGCTGGAAAGGGATAGGGGAAGGGGAATCTATTTTGCAGGTGGACGGCCAGCAATGGATTCAGTTCTGAGCTATCACATAGTAGGAAGGTCCATTTTACCATTTTTCTTTTGGATCCCTTTGCTCACAATGTCTGTTGTGGTTGCTTTTTTGTCAATTTAGTTGAACTGAGCTTTTGACACCCGGAAATATCAAAAGCCCGAGCAAATTAGTCAGATGCATTTGGCTGCTACCTTTGCTGGTGTGAGGAAAACCTGCCATTTCAATTTGTATCCTTAGTTAGTATAAGCATCTATAGTCTTGCTCTTATGCTGGAATTCTGGGGTCACAGCTTAGTTATAGTTCTGTTGCCATGTTTCTTAAAAGGTGTTGAGATGGCATGATTTCTTTCCTTTGAAGCTATGTCTTCTCACTATCATGTGATTTCCTGCTAGAGGAGATTTCAACATGCTCCTAATTTTTGCCAGATTAATTTTTGTATCGTTTCACTCCATGAGATGAAGAATCCACCCCACTCCAGTTCTCACAAATAATGCAGGATAGATAGCTGTAAATGCATCTTCCGATTGTCTTGTTTACAAAATGTGATTTCCCCCCCCCCATGCCGCTTTGATGTTTCAAGTGAAAAAGCAGCCAGTGTGCTGCATTGACCTGTACCAAAGTGGCATGTCTGACTTCTAGTCTTAATCTGAGTTCTGTCAAGATGAAGTTGCTTTTTGTATTCTGGTGTTAGGGAGGCTCACTAGGACAAAATCTGAAATCCTATTTGGGCGATACTCCATGCAATTAAGACCATGTGGAGAGACAAAGGAATCTTGCACATTGGCTCTTCCACTGCATCACGGGCTAGACTGATCTCCATGTTGTCTGTGCATTGAGGTCTTGTTACAACCTGGGGATGCTGATTGTACAGGATTTCCAGCCACAGGGTCTTCTGCTGTACCGACAAGTGGGGGAGGGCCTGTGGGGGTTTCACTTGGAGGGAAAACACCTGGCTAGGGGGTCAAGAAATACTTGCGGCCATTTCAGTTGGTGCTTTCATAGGCCACATTTTTATGCAGTTGCCATGGCTCTGCTGTGTTCTACGTCACCTAAGCTTTAATTCTGATCAGGTTTTGGGAGAGAATGTATTGACTAGTAATTGCTTTTGCCTGACTTCAGAGCTGTTTTTCTCTCCTTTGTCCTTTAGATATTATGTTGGCCACCCCTCCCCGCAGGGTCCTGCATTAAACTATCTGTGTATATGTTACCTCTTTAGAAATAATATCACAGTCTATGCCAAGCAAATATTTTCCTACTATATTTCTTCCCTTCTCTGACCTGTGTACATTACTCAGGATAGGGATTTATTTACTAACTGTGCTGAAGTTCAAATGCAACGCTTAGTGTGTGGAGGCACATGCGTGTTCCCCCCCTCTCTCTAAGCTGGAACATTTGAAGTTTGGCAGTCAAATAAAAGTGGAAAAAGTTCTTATACTGAAATAGATTTGGCAGTTTTATCTGTGTTGCTTTCAGCATTGCTTGTAAAATGCCCCAAATATAGCAGTGGTTCTCTCCTTTGTCTGTAGTGAATTTTTAGTATGGCGTTACAGGCCTAGGCATCTGACCAGTGCAGACTGGAGTTGGACAAGCATGTAACTGAAGATGAACTAGGCCAGTCCCAGTAAATTGTTGGCCTATGAAGATTAAATCTAGTAAGTCATCAAACTAACAAGGAAACATTTGGTGCATCAGGAATTTGGTTGCCGTATATTTGGTGAGGTCACTGACATGCTTTACTCATTCAGCTACACAGAGAGAGCTGATTAAGTTGTGGATTCTTTCACAGTTAATGGGGCCATGCACTCCTCAAAACAGTCTGGCCACCACTGCAATTTTTGAATAACTTTTATTATGAACTGTGAGTTAATCTTAGAAGCTTGTGTACAAATGCTAGTGATTTCACTCATAGTTTTCAGTTATCAGTGCAACCAGGAGACTCAACAGCCTTGAAGTTACCTTTTGCCTGTACAGAGTGTCATGTGCTACATGCAAGTTTGAGGAATAAGTTGTTGGCAAACACTGACATTAAAATTAATTGCCATTGTTTCTGTCATATGCAGTATGACTTGTGCCAAATGTAACCATGGATTTTGCTGGCGTTGCCTGAAGCCTTGGAAACCAACCCACAAGGATTATTACAACTGTTCTGCTATGGTGAGTGTATGAATGCGGAATGCTGGGCAAACTTGAAGCCTTTTCTGAGCACCATCAGTAGGAGAACCATTGTGGGAGAAGTGCATTATGTTTGGACAAAGGGCCTTTTTTGTGGTCACTTCCCTCTCTAAGGAAGTTCAGTTGGTGCTGACTTGACAGTCTTTTCACTGTCAAGCACCTTTTTTTGCTCAGGTATTTTAACAGGTGGCATCACTTCTGCCAGTAGCATAAGTTTGTCTGTTGCCTTTCTATTTTAATTGTTACATTGGATATTTTCTTTTTGATAGTGATATGCTTGTAATTTTGAACTTTTATGTCTGTATACTCTGAAAGCTGTTTTGCATGAAGGTTGGTCTAGAATTCAGTGCTTTAAGTTGTTCTTCGTTGCATTTTTCTCCGGCAGGTGAGCAAAGCAGCTCGACAGGAGAAGCGCTTCCAGGACTATAATGAAAGGTGCACTTTCCACCATCAAGCAAGGGTGAGGAGCATGTGCTTGAAATTGCATCTTTCTCCCTAGGTCATTTTAGACTATGTAGCCATAATTAGCTCTAATGAACAAGTTCAGTTCGAATCATAGTTATATGTTAGCACCTCATCCAGATAGTCAGGAAAGATTTATTGCTTTCCTGCTCTAAGTCTAAAAGTTGGCAGGATGACAGGGAGTGGAAGTGGCCCTCTCCTTCAGACAGTTTCTGCCTTTCAGCAGGAGAGCAAGACTTGCAGATTTTGTCTTGCAGCAAGGATGCACAAATTAGATCCTCTTTCCTGTCTTATGTAAAACCACTCAACACATTTTCAGCTTTCAACATTTAGATGGGTGAAATGGTTTGACTTTCTCACTCTTTCTTGGTTTTGGTAGGAAGGGTTTTAAGAATCCATTCCCCATGCCCCCACCCCTGCTATATCTTCTTTAGAGTGATCACCTCAAGACACAAGAGCTATGAGGGACCTTTGGAAAAAAGTGCTCCGGCCTAATTTTTTCCCCCTTGCTGTAACCCACTCCAGCCTGGGGAGGACATGCATTAAAGATGAAGCACCCTCAGAGAGTCCTGAGATGTCTCAGGAAGGCACCAGGTTTCAGAGGCTTATCTCTATTGTTACTCTGTTTGAGGGCACGTGGCACATTTGCGTTTTCCATATGTCAAGGCAAGTGGGGAATGCAGCACAGCTCTGTACACCTACATTCTGCATCATGCAACAAGTTGTGTGGGTGGACGGATGGTGGCAGATCCTTGGCTACAGCTAAAAAGGAAATCGTTGATCAAACGCTCCACAATAAATACACCATTACAGGCAGCTTTATTGAGCAGCTGCTTTCCATATTTGTTTTACAGTTGCTTTCATTCAAACTTTATGAATATCCAAAGAGGACTGGGGCACATTCGTCATCATGCATTACTGTGTTCGTGCTGAGCAAGAATAGGTAGCTGATCCAAGCATTAGTTGCAGAAATTGGCTACCAATACTACTTTGGGTTTTGTTTGCAAAAAGGGAAGCTGTTTGTGTTATGTGGAATTTCTGTCTGCATTTATTTTTCTTTATTCATTTATTTCATTTATTTAAAGTTTTGATAGACTCTGCTATAGCAACACTCCCAGAACTGTTTGCAGCATAAACATAATTGCAACAGCAAATCCATAGTGATCATAGCACTTCAAGAATAATAACAGAAATCATTAAAAATATAACACAATAGACATTGATCCACAGTAACCCATTGATCCTGACGTAAATAAAAACCAGATATTTCAGCCACAGATGATAAAAGGTGCACCTGGCCACAGGTGTCACCTGGTGCTTCAGGGACAACTTTGGATCTAGGAGCACCCCCAAGCTCCATACTCTGTCCTTCAGGGGGAATGCAGCCATCCAGGAGAGGACAGATAACCTCCCCGTGGACTGAGGCTCTGAGACATTGGTTCAGGTTTCCAGAGCTGACACCGCCTCACCTGGATCAGCTGCAAATGAGTGGTAGGGCTGAGTGTCAACAGCATACTGATGACCTCTCCTGGTGGATTGCATGCCCGGAATGGTTAACTACTTTGCCAAACAGACCAAAATATTAATCACAGTAGAAATAGGACAAGATCCTAGCCTGGAATGACAGATGACAAAGGTGGCCCTAGTCAGCTGGTGTTATTACTTCAGGAAGGTGTGTGCACGCATGTGTATGTGTGTATCCACTCACAGATAACAGGAAAACTTTCAGAGTAGCACTTTCAGTAAAGTGAAGGCAGCAGGAAACCTGAGACTATTCTCCTCCATTGCAGGAATTTGCCATGAACTTGCGAAATAGGGTCTCCTCAGTCAGTGATGTGCCACAAATTCGAACTTTGACGTTTGTTGTTGATGCCTGCAAAACACTGGAACAGGCGCGAAAAGTAAGTGCATACCTGTGAGGGGGGTGCTGTGGGAAACATGCAGCTCTCCTTGCTGTCTTTTCTCCCCTTCTGTTACAGTTCCTTCATTCTCTTCTTGGCAGCAGCCATTACAGATCAATTCCCATATGCCCCATTTTTAAAGGGGATCAACAACATTCAGATAAGTTGAAGAAATGTATTCTGTGAGGAGAGGGGACATGAGAGGAAGGGTGCAGAAGAATTTGGCCTAAGTTTCAATCCATGCGAACCTATGGCATTTCAGAGGCAGATTTATTGATTGAGTTTGCATACCTTGTTAAAATGGGATTGTCCAAGCATGGTGCCATAGGGTGGCTTCTTTGTCCCTACAAAGCTGCTCCAACAAGCCATGGCTTGTTGTATGGTTTTGAAGCCACCGCAGGCCTGCCATGTTGTCAGAACCCAGACAACTCTACAAGCTAAGGAGTAGCACAGAATCCCAAAGAGCTGCTTGGCAACAGCAATAGAAAGGCTATCAGTGTCAGCTGCCCCAAAAGAGTTGGAGCAGCACTTGGGGCAAAGCTGGCAAAGGCTTCTCCCCTCCTTGGAACCACCATGAGGCATTTCAGCCTCACAATGTCTTGCCTTCTTTTTTCTTTCTTTTTTTAAATTATGAGAGCTGCCTCTCTGAGCAACTTTTGTGATTCTTGTTTTTGGCACCAGCAAGATACTCCCCTTCCCCAAGGAGTCCCAGTCGTACCTTGAAAGGGCTGCCTGCTTTTTCAGCCTCTCCAGGGTCCTGCTGCATGGGCAGCTTGTCCATGAAAGTAACCCAGTGAGGCAGCTTTTGCCATATTCTCCCAAAAATGCTTTAAAGTAAAATCACAAGCCCAGGTGAAACCAAAATGGCTCATGACAGCTGCCTTTACTGATCCTTACTGTATGCATTTTGGTTGACCCCTTAGAAGTTGTTAGATTAGGACTGACAACAAATAACCTTGTGCAGATAACTGTTGAGTTCTTTCGATTCTGACTATCTTGTCAGCCCTGTAGGTTTCTTTTCTGAGTTGCTTGTGTTTTTAAATGGGTGCACTATTCTAGCTATACGTTTGGCAGAAGTAGCACAGAGCAGGGTAATAAGAAGGACCTTATGAAGGATCCCAGTGACAGAAGCCTTCCATTGGCAGAAGACACTTTCCTCTCTGTGTGTCCAAATTATATGTAGTCATGTGGTATGCATCCTCTTTCAGGTACTGGCTTATTCCTGTGTGTACAGTTACTATAACCAAGACACTGAAAAGATGGATATCATGGAGCAACAGTCAGAGAACCTGGAGCTGCACACAAATGCTCTGCAGATCCTTTTGGGTGAGTCAGTGCAAGTGATCCAGTACTACCTTGCAACAGGTGAGGGAGTATTTCCTCACTGCCAACATTTTTGGTTCATTCCATTCAAATACTTGGTCTGGCTTTGGCTCTGTATCACCTGACATTCTAAATTATTATTATTATTATTATAACATTTCTATGCCGCCCCTTGCCGAAACCTCGGGGTGGCTTACAACACGATAAAATACAATGAAATACAATAGCACATAATAAATTACCATTAAATACAAAATACAAAAAATACATTGGTTTACAAATATAAGATTAAAATTATCAGTATAACTTAAGTAAATAAAAATATAGGAGGAGAAAGAGAAGGAAGAAGAAGTTGCCCTGGCCAGATCATATGTTTTAACAATTCAGATGATGTTTAAATAAAAAGGTCTTTACCTGGCGCCGAAAAACCAGTAACGACGGTGCCAGGCAGACCTCTTTGGGGAGTGAATTCCATAGGTTGGGTGCCACCGCTGAGAAAGCCCTCCTCCGAGTACTTACTCTCCTAATTTCTTTCATGGAGGGTTCCCGGAGAAGGGACTCTCCCGCAGATCTCAAAGGGCGGTCGGGCATATACGGACGTAAGCGCTCGTTCAGGTAGCCAGGACCCAAGCCGTTTAGGGCTTTATAGGTCATAATCAACACCTTGAATTGGGCCCGGGCTTCAATGGGAAGCCAGTGAAGCTGACGGAGGACTGGAGTTATGTGAGCATAACGCCCCGTCCCCGTCAGCAACCTGGCAGCTCTATTTTGCACCAATTGAAGTGTTCGGACTGTCTTCAGGGGAAGCCCCACGTAAAGCGCGTTACAGAAGTCTAGGCGGGAAGTCACCAGCGCGTGTGTCACCGTCGCCAGGCAGTCGTACTCCAGGTAGGGGCGCAGCTGATTAATCAGCCGAAGCTGAAGGAAGGCGTTCCTCGCCACCGCTGTCACCTGAGCTTCCAAAGAAAGCTCTGGGTCGAGGAGTACTCCTAGGCTGCGGACCTTATCCCTAAGAGGGAGTGTTGCATACATAATTTTTAAAAAGAGATCAACAAATGCTATGTTCTCTGGAGGTATCAGACGATCTAGACTGTTAGTTCTATTGCAACTGTGAACAGCCCGGTCTTACACCCCACCGTGATTTCATGTGGCTCAGCCAGTTTTTCCCCACCTTATAAGTAGTAAAGAATGTTTCTGCAAAAAGTAGTTAGCAGAACTGTGGGGGGCTGGAATAAAACTTGCTATATTAGTGATGAAAATCCAGCCATTGTTCAAGCACGTATTCTGTGTGGGTGGGCAGTTGTCAGAGAGCAAGTTACAAGACGGAGGCTGCTGGAGTTTCAAGGCTGGCTCTTTGGGAGTCACATATTGTGCTCACATGATCTCTGAGAGAAGGAGCAAATTTAGCTGAAACCTTCCTTCCATATTGTGACATGGAAAACACGGAAAACTCCAAATGTGTCCTGCATGTGTCTTCTTCCGTCAGTATCCAAAGCTGTCACTGCAGCTTGTAAGCCAGTAGGAGGGAGGACTACTGGAGTGTGATACGTTTTCCCTTGTTAACTGTGGCTCTAATACAAGGTGTTCCAGTAGATTTGTCAAATTTTAATCTGGACATATGGGGGTCTATACCTGTAAGAAGACAGAAGATAGCCCCTGCCCCAGTCCTCCACTTTCCTCCTCCATCTGTAGGGGACAGTCAAGCTCCTTTTTTACTTTATAACAAGCAAGAGAGGAGGGTGGCTAAAGGCCATGGTTTTTGGAAAAATGGCAATTCTGGGGCTACTTTACGCATACCTGGATAGCCTTCAGTATTCAGGCTAGAAAAAGTGGGAGAAAAAGGAATCTTCATATTTTGTGCAACTCTTCTGAATTGAGCTGAAATTCACTGCAAGTCCAGCACTGTGAAACCTCCTTCCCTGCCTGTAATTTTGTAGGCTGCACTAGCTGGTTTAAGTTTACTGTTTTGGTTGTCACCACTTAACTTGCTACCTGAAAGTTAATGTTGTTTTGACCCTCTATTCCAGAAGAGTCATTGCTGCAGTGCCAAGATCTTGCCTCTTCCATTCGGCTACTGAAAGCAGAACATTTTAATACAGGTCTAGAGTTAGTTCGTAGGATCCAAGAACGACTCCAAGCAATTCTGCAGCATGCCACTCAGGTAACTACTGTATTTTTAGCAATTTTGTTTAGAAGGAAAATATTAATGTATTATTAATATTAATGTAAAGCAGGTCTAGATTGTTGTGAGCCGCCCCGAGGCTTTGTAGCGATGGGGCGGCATAGAAATGTATTAGTTGAAAGAAGGGGAGGGGAAGGAAGGGGAGGGAGGGAGGGAGGAAGGTGCAGTTTGCTTAGGGCAGAGATCTCTGGTGCTAGCATCTGGATGACATCATTTTCTGACCTTTCTTATTTCATGGCAGGACTTCCGAGTGGGGTTCCAGAGCCAACAAACCTCTGAACAGAGGGAGATTAAGTTATCTAATGTGCCTAATGCTACTCCTGCTTATAAAGAGTGAGTTTTCTTCTGGGGATGACATGGACAATTGAGCTAAGGTGTGGCAAGTTTTACATAGTTTGTGTGATGCTAGGATAACATCTAGCATCTAGCCCCCACTTTGACTGGGCAGTTCTTTCTCTCCACTAAAAGGTGCTCCTTTTTTCCTATACAGTGTAATGTTCTGTTTTCTACAATGTCTTGGGTAGAAAATCTTGGAAGATGAGTAGCCTTTGGGGCACGCAAGGTGTTTTTGTCAGCAAAAGAAGAGGTTCTCTGTGTGCCATTGTTTAAGACACAGTACCCAAAGGATTGTGATGTGTTAAAATGTGTTAAATTGTAATGTGTATACATGTGTTATTTATTCAGTTCTAGCAGGATTCATAATGTTTGAAGACCTAATTATACAGGATTCATAACGTTTGAAGACCTAATTATGTTTGAAGACCTAATTATATTCTCCTATCATGAAAGAGGCCTAGCTCAGGGATAGGTACCTTTTGGCCCTTCAGATATTGTTGGACTCAATTCCCAATAGCCCTGCCCAGCACAGCTTGTGGTGAAGGATTATGGGAGCTGCAGTTCAGCAACATCTGGAAGGCAACAAGTTGCCCATCTCTTGTCTAATTGGTGGCTAATTTCAGAACTGCTGGTGACAGCCGTGGCTGCAGCACGTTTGTTCTCGATTGTGCTGGAGGAGAAAGAGTCAGAGACGATGGGATTTAGAGCTCTATTATAGAACTATCTGCTTCACTAAGCTATGAGAAACAGAAACATGTACAAAGTGCACTGACTGCTTGGTTTGTTTCTGCACAGGCTGGTTTTTGATGAGGGATCTGATTCGCCTGACACAGATGATGGTGGCAAAGAGGAGGAGGAGGATGAAGATGAGGAGTATGTTCCTGAGTGGCAGGACGAGTATGATGATGAAGATCTTGACGATGACAATATTTCTTACGACGACGAATCAGAAAATCTGGAGAGGGAGTCTTTCCTTTTTGAAGATGAAGATGAAATATATGATTAGAGTTGGGCTCCTGTCACTCCAAAACCACAGAGAATTTTGGAGTAAACCTTGCCTGTCAACCCAGACTGCCTTGTCCCTGTTGCGCTCTGTGCTCTGCACCTGCCTTCATCAAACACAGCAGGGAGAAGACTAGACTTTAGTCAGGTGAGAGGAAGCTGTATGGTAGAGGACACTTTCCGCTTTGAGATGGCTGCCTTGTGCCTCTTAATGAAATGTACAGGGTGCTGTGCCTGATTACATATGAACTTCCTTGGCAAAAGAGGGTCAGCCGAGATTTCGTCATACCCTTTGCTTTGGAATAAGATCAAGAACCAGGCTAGAAGCAGGTCCAGCCGTTGCCTTGGTCCCATTACTGGCTTCAACTCTGAGAGTTTAAAGGAGTGCCACACCTCATCAGTGTCTGTGAAAGGTTATACATCACCCTGTATTCCCCGTGTTTGATTGCCATTAGCTACCATTATGCAGGAATCCTGCCTTAGCAAAGTCTATTTGATTTTATCATCTAGATTGACAATGACTGACATCCCAGGAGAGAGTAATGACACCAGCCTTATGAGTGCCAGTTCTAGTGCAATGATCAACTTTCCAGTAGTGATGTTCCATGTGGCAAATACATGGACGTACCAATGCATGTGTGTACATGTGTGCGCGCACAGGTGATGTCTCTTTAGGACCTCTGTCTGCCACGACAACTCTCACTTCTGTTCTAGCACAAGTCTAGAAACACAAGTGAAACTTTTCACTCCACTGCTATGGAAAGCATTATAGTGGAGTGAACACACACAGAGACAGTTTCTGTCTACCTGGAAAAAAAGGCAATTTAGCTGACATGTGCGTTTGGAGATGAGAGCTAGTGAAATGGTTAAAACCAAATGCCCCAAACTGAGCTAAAGGTTCCCTTGCTCTGCTCTTTCTCTCATCTATGGTTCTGTGGGCTTCCAGTGCTCTCAGTGGACATGGTTTTCTCTTTTGTTGAGAGGCAAGTTTTCTGTATCTTTTTTGTTGTTGTTGCCGTTGCCATTGTTGTTCCTTTGTCATTGGAATTATAACCTCTTCCTACAGATGGGAGTTCTGCAGGTTATAGAGGTTCAGAGGGTTCATATATATATAATATAAATATATATATATATATATGCAGAAGCTGAAATTCTTCAGATTATTATGCTTTATCTTTTCTTGAAAAATGAAAAAGAATCCTGAAAGAACAAGATTATGCAACTTCTGTTTATGAAATAAACAGTTTTTCTTCTATTACTGTCTTTTGTGTGGTTCTTTTATTCTGCTCTCATAGCTTCCCAGCCCTTGTTCCAAGAGCCAGAATGATGCAATGGCTAGAGTAATGGTTGGAACCTGGAACTCAGGAGATGCATGTTCTAATTCTCATCTGGCCATGGCACTCACTGGATGACTTTGGACCAGGCAAAGACTCTCAGCCTAACCTATTTCACAGGGCTGTTGTGAGAATAAAATGGAAATGATGGGCTCTGTTGGGTTTCTTGCAAGAGAAAATACTTCAGGATATAAATAATAAAATAAATAGAGCTAAAATCAGTGTTACGAGGAATGTAGGGTTGTGGGCGAAAGTAGTAACACATCTCCTTGGTAATAACCTAGTAAAAGAAGACATCAGTTGTGACATTTTGCTCAATTTCTTTGTCCCAGCTCTGCTTCATAGTTCAATTTCAAATCATGCACCATTAGAGTTAGAGTTGCTAAATATTGGTAACAACCATGCATAATGCTTGTGACCCAAGTCTCTAAAAACAATAAAATTCCATATTGTATAAATCACCAAATAATGCACAACAGTTCCGGTTATGTAAGTTAAAGTTGTGAGTCTATACATTTCTCATTTATTCTAATTGTAGATATTAAAGATTGGGCTTTTAATTCAGGCTTTTTCATGTAGTATTTTTGTTCCTTGTGCTTCTGTGCCCCTTAGCTTTAGAACACGAATTCTGCCACCAACCTCACCCATATCTTTGCCTTTCTCTGTTTCTGTGCATTAGTTCACTAATAGCTACTAAAGATGTGAAGAATCAGTGACAGGTAAAACAGGCTTTGAAGTAAGAGAAGAATAGTGCGTTCAGTGGAAGAGAAAGGAATAAATACTGGACTAGAAGAGCATAAAGATGGCTTAAAAAATTGAAGAAGTGGCAGTATGTGAGATTCCACATTGAGAGTTAGGGGCTTAGTTTAAAAGATTGATTTAAGGACAATTAGCACTAGAAACTGGCTGATACATGAATGCTTGGGCAAAACAGAAAATGTGAATAGTTGCCAGGGAGCATTCTATGCATTGGAGCAAAAGGACAACACTAGCTCTATCTGCTAGTCCACGCTGCAGGTAGAGCAATTTTTCTTTCCCTTTTTAAAAAATTGGAAATATATCTGCTTTGGTTGATTTTCAGATTTAAGCCATGGTTTTGGAATGTATGAATCAGATCATGCATTCTAATCCAAGAGCTTTAAGAAATGCCATCATCTTGAACCCACCTGAAAACGTAATTCTGTGAGAGGCAGCTTGGGTGCTTTGAGAACTCGAAAGCATGGGTGCAAAAAGTTAATCTCTAGATAGTTTGAACCTCATTTCTCAGAAGCCCCTGCCTTCCTTGCCCAATAGTCAGGAATGTTGGGATGCTGAGAGCCAAAACAACTGGAGTTCTACTTATTACTCTAAAGAACAGGCATTCTGACTCTTCATGCTCTCGATATGGATTATATTCCTTTGATGATGTCGCTCCTCACTTATTTCTGAAATATTTAACAGCCTTCCCTTACTGGTGCTCTTCAGATGATACCCCCAGCATGGCTAATGGTCAGGAATGCTGGAAGTTGTCAATACCTGGAGGATACCAGTTTGGGGAAGGTTGATGTACACTCTGTTCACCAATGGCCAATTGGTATTTCCAGGGCAGTTATGGAATTCAGGTACCACTGAAATGTCTGTACACTTTCTTGGTGGATTTCCTTCTTGACTTACTCGGAATAAGGAGGTACACTCCTTGAATATGTGTAAAGGGTTGCTTGTTCCTTCTCGTATATGACTATAGTCATCAACAGAGGCCCTTCTCCCAGGTGCCACCTTCAAGGGAGGTTTTAAAGATGGCAACAATGGGAAGGATCTTTTCAGTGGTGCTCCCCTCATTATGGAACACTGTCCCCATAGGGATTCCCCTGGTTCAAATACTGTCATCCTGGCAGCACCAAGGGAAGACTACTCCCAGGCATTTGACAGCTTAAGGTCTTAACTCTTTCTGGGATTTTCACTGGATTGTTTTAAATTGTTTTTGTATGGTTTTTATATTTCAATCTTTTGTAATTGCACAGGGAGCTTTGGCTAATGTGTCTTATAGAAATGTAAATAAGAATTACCACCATTATATTAACACAAAGACAGAATGCCTGTAATACTGCTTAGACCTTGCCCAGTTTATACACTGACATTTTGCAGACTTTGGATGTATAGATGAATGTAGAATTTGGATTCTGTGTGCTTCATGGAATGCTAGGGATGAACCTAAAGGGGAAATTTCTCAGGGCTTGCCTCATGGTTACCCATCTGAAGAAGGCTGAATAATCTCTGCCATTTTCTTACTTTTAACTAATAAGGGTGTGATTTGGTGAGCCATGAGATAGGGTGGTGGAGAATGGCTAGATGGGCAGTCAGCCAAGTCCAAAGGCTCTGCTCTGGGCTCGTTGCTTATGAGTTAGTTTAGAAGTAAATTACTTGAAAAGAACAGGCGTGATGACACCTTTTGGTGACTTCAGCTTCATCAATGCAAATATTGTGTAATGTTTGTATGGGGAACAAGTGGCTCATGACATGTTAGATGCAAACTCCCATCAGGCTCAACCAGTATGGCCAATGGTCAGGAATGCTAGGAGCTGAAGGATAATACCTAGAGGACCACGGGTTTCCCACCCTGGTGTAGTGAGAATTTAGCTCTGACTGATATGGTTAGAGAAAAGCAAAGGAAGTCCCAAGTTGCTGGCCAGCCTATGGCAAATAGAAAAATGGTTTGTGAAGCAGAGGATGATCAGAAACCTTTTGGCCTGTGAGAGGAGTGAATGATGTGCTGATGGCAACTTACTTTTCTTGATCTGCAACAGCTAACAAAAAAGAGTGCATCCTATTGTGCTCACTACTTGTTTGTTAAAAGAGCTAAGGCCCAAATCTCCTCTGAAACTGCACCTTATAACTTCCATTATTCTAAACGTAGGAGCACATTTGGTGATAAGGAAAGATGCTCTGTATGCAGCATTTTGATTTTTTCATATATTCTGGGAAAGCTATGGCACTGAAAACAGATAGCAGGTGTGTGTAGGGTGGTGGTAAAAATTAAAGCATACTTTATCCTTGTGGGGTGTATGGGTTTGTTTAATCTATGTAAGAATATTTCATTATGCTCTTTTAACTTTCTATGTGACCAGTGTAATGAAATCTGGAATAATCTTAAAACAACAACCTTCATTGATTTCTTAGAAACTTCCTTGTCATGATCCTAAGAAAAGCTAGTGGTGTAATTCAGCTTTAGAATCAATTCCTTAAAGCGCTTTATTATTTGTATTGGAATGAGCTTCCAATGGAGGAGGTTGAGGCCCCGTCAGTGAGGGTGTTCAAGGAAAGATTGGACAACCACATACTGGGGATTACATGAGTGGAGCCAGCTGGAGCTGAGGGGAGTCAGACTAGATGGCCTGGGAGACCCCTTCTGACACATTTTGCTTCTACGTTTCTATGCATTTATACACAATGTAAAAACTATAGCTTTCTAAATAGTTTTAATTTGTTCTGTTTTCTCCCAATTTTTACTGCTGCCACAATATGTCACATCTTAATTTTTTTGCATGTTGTCTTGACTACTTTTAGAAGAAACATGATCAATGCAACCTGCAGGATTACTGCAGAACAAAACCCCAACTTCAGCCAAGCACTGGAACTAGGTACCATATTATAACACCTATCAAAAGGGTGAGAGGGGCAGCTTATTCCTCTCCTGTCATCTTATGTGATTTTCTCTACCCTTACTTCTGATTTATGGTGAGTTATAAAGCTTCTTCGATGGAGAAAATGAGGAGACAGGAAAAGGGCTGCTGTATTCCTTAGATTGCCTTCTGTCCTCAAATGGCAAGATGCAGGTTTCTGAAGTATTATCACAAGGAGCCCAAGGGTGTCAGGCTACTCTCGCATGTCGCTATAATCAGGATCTTGCAGTATCTATACCTTTGCGTGTAGTGGGGGATGGTGCTTGCTTGCAGCGTGCGGTTGAGGAAGGCTGTGGGAACGCCACGGCGTTGGTGAAGAGGCGCTTCATGCAACCGCACGTGTGCCGCCGCCATCGTGGGGCAGGACTGTTGCAGGATGGTGGAGCCGGTGTCGTGTGCGCCACCTGAGGTCCCGGTGCAAGCCGGCGGGGTGGGGCGGCGCTGCGGAGGCTGGAGCTGATGTCAGGCTGATGCTGATGCTGCTGCGCGCAGTGCATTGTGGGCAAATCCCGCTACCAGCGCCGCCGCTGCCGCCGCCGCCTCCTGCCACCTTCTCCCTCCTGCTGCCGAGGACCCATCCCGAGGCCGGTGCGGGAGGGGGGAGGATGCTCCCCGGGCGGCCCCCACTGGAGCAGGCACAGCCGCAGGCCGAGCGCCAGACGGTCCCGGGCAGGGCAGAGAGCTACGCGCCCGTGCCGCACTGACGGAGAGCAGCTGGGAGGGGATGCGCCGCCCTCACCAACGGCTGCGGCAGGGACCAGGTGAGCGCGCGAAGGAGGGGCTGCCCCGCGACTGGGGCAGCAGCGAGGCGGGAGGGCGTCGCCGCCGCCGCCCCTGAGCCAGACACTTGGGGGCAGCAGGAGGGGGCCCTGCGGGATGGGCCCTGCCTGGACCCCTTCAGCTCAAGGGTTGGCCTGGTGGTGCATTGTGGGAGTTGTAGTTCTTTCGCCTCTCTCCGAGGGCTGAAGGTGGCGGCGGCGGCGGCGGCGGCGAGGAAACGAAGCCCGGCGCAGTAGGGGTTTTATCTCCCAGGATGCCCCGGGGCGCGATTGACGGGACGTTTGACCAGTCGCGAGTGGAAGCAGCCTCTGGGTGTTGAGAGCGAGTGGCCCGAGCAAAAGGCGAGTTCAAAGCAGCTGCAGTGCAGGCAGCGGGATGAGGAGGGGGCGTGGCTTCGCAAGGGCGGGCCTCGCCTTTTACCTGAGGGACCGGCGGTGGGGGAGGGGGCCGGGGGCTGAGGGATCGCCTCGGGGCCGTCCCCTTGGGCCGGAGGGCGCCCTTGGCCGGGCTGGGCTCCCTTTACGGGGACTGTGGGCGGCGGGCGGGCGGGAGGACGCGAAGCAGCTTCCTCCGCGTGGCCGGGTGGCCGGAGTTGGGTGCTCCTTGAAACAGGGAACATATTCCTCTGAAGCCGTCGAGGGAAGTGGGCTACGTTCTGGGCCATAGGCAGTCTTCCCTCGACTTTTTTTTGCAAGAGGTGCGTCCTTCGCTTTAAAAAAAATTAAAAATTAAAAATGAAGGTGGTATAGCATCTTTTAAAGCAGCTCTGGGGGACTTTTGAGGAGTGCCAGTAGCGAGGTTGCCTGTGCTGCCGTTTTTTGTCCTTTAACTTCCGTGTGCAACGAGGAGCAGTGGTGATGGAGCTTTGTTGTATGTACATCTCGAGGCAGATTTCCCTTATGTGAAATCTCCGCTCTCCTCCTCAGATGTTGCTGTCCAAGGTTGAAGCAGGCATGGCCCAGTTTGTTGGCATTTAAAATAAATCAACTGCTATTGGGCTTGTTCACTTGAACAACTTAACGTAAATAGATCTACATTGGGTGTGTGAACTGCATTCCCACTTATTTATTCTACTGGCACTAAAGGCACAGTCTTATGCATGTTCAGACAGAAAAAAGTCCTACAACTCCCAGCATTCCTTAGGAATAGAATTTGGGTGGGTGGCTTCATTAGACAAAGGTTGGAGATTAGCGCTAGGAAATGCGGGTGGCAGTGTTAAATGGCAAAGCAAGGAGAGATAAAGTGCTGTGAGAGTGCTTCTAACTCTGCTAAATCAGTTGATTTTAAGGAAGAGCAGCAAAGACTTCCTGATGAATAGAGATTTCAAGTATAAGCAGCAGGATGGTGTCAGAAGGTGAACAGACTATGATGAGAAAAGGTGACAAAACTGGGCAATGAACTCAAGTGTGGAAAAGTTTACTTTGGACCAAGATGCTTTACTATGTGTCAACAGGAAAATTACCCTGCTGATAGCATAAACATGTGGCAGTCATGCACTGATTTGTGGTGACCATGCTGTTGGCAAGGATGGGCAGGCATTCCTTTGAAAAATGAGCGAAAGGTTGTGTGTATAGGCGATTATATGCTACCTAGAGATTCCTGTTGGACTAGTGGGTGGCATATAAATTTAAAAATAAATATAAATATATTGTAACCCTGGGTTAAAAAAGTAAGTCTTCTTGGGGAAGTCTTCTTTCCAACTGTTGATGAAATTTTTGGTAACCATGAAGAATACAGATGCTGGTCCACCTTTTTTGTTGGGAGGAACTTTAAAAATGGAGAGTTCACACTTTTACATCCTTTCATAATGATCTTTTGCTGCTATACATTTGAAGTGTTTTGTATCTCAAACAGTTGCTCTCTCCTTTATACTCATATCCTTCAGATCTTCCACATGATGGCCTGTTAATGTCTGGTTTTATTCTTCTTACAGTGCTATTTTGAGTGCATTGTAATTTGTCATGTCCTCCTTAAAATTGACAGCACTCTATAAATATGGTATTCCAATATGGTATTGTATTTTATCAATACAAAATTTAGTTACTGCCTGAGTGTTAGATTTCATGTTTCTTCTTCTCTGTACTAGTTAGGATTACATGTTTGGCCTTTGTTGCTAGATTCAGGTATCTCATGACTTCCTAGTGATTTAGTGTCTAGAAGGACATCATTGGGTCATACAGAGATACTTGAATATCACTAGAATATGGCTCCAACCAGTACACCTGATTATAGTTATTATTTATTTCATTTCTTTACTTCCTCACAGCCAAAATTTTCTAGCCTGTTTCTAGCTGGTTTTCATCAGACATAGACAAGTGCTGACACACTGCATAATTAACACATCATTTTGGGGTCATCTTGTATTAGATTGCTTTAAAAAAGGTAAGTTAATGCAATAAGGATTTAGTGGAGAGCCAGGCAACCTAGTGAAAGAAGTGATTATTCCATTTTTATCCAGAAACCTTAGCATGATTCTGAATTTAAAAACAGAAATGTGCTGTCCCCACACCACCAAATTTTTATTATATGCCAATATCTTTGCGTGTTTTGGAAGCATAGTTAGAGTCCTTTCCTCATGAATTACTTTCCCATATTTTTGTGTTCCTTCTTGTTCTTGCTTTTACTAATCATCAGAATTTGGTGCCATATATATATAAGCATATATAAACTTTATCTGGCACTTTGGAATGGTTGGTTTAATTTAGTCTTTATTTTCTGATTACATCGCAGATTTAATTTAGCAGGCAGGTGGGTAGACTGATAAAAGTTTTTGGAGGTGCTTTCTCCAAAGTCATTGTTGAATCATTGTTATTAAACAAACAGAAGAAATTGCAGTTTTGATGAGTCTTTAATGTAAGAGCAAGATAGTAAATTTTTGTGAGGTTGCAGATAACAAGTCTGCTAAACTTGATAAAGGTGATTTCTAGCAGGAATATGCACATCAATTGTTTAGAGAATATGTATGAAAGAGCTGGCCTGAAGGTGAGTTATACCAGTGATCCATCTAGCTCAGTACTGGTGGCAGCTTTCCCATGATTTAGGCCAATTGTTTGGCCTAAGGCTGCTTCTTGAGATCCTAGTTTAACTGAAGGTTTCACTGGCTGTATTTCTGGTCTTTGACATGCAAATCCTGTGGTATGCCTTCAAGCTGCAGCCTCTATCTGATCATTGTTGTTATGTGTCATCTCTGACTTATGTCAACCCTATGGATGAAAGCTCTCCTAGATGGCATGTCCACGACAGCTCTGTTCATCTCTTCCAAGTTCGAAACTGTGGTTTCCTTTATGGATTCAATCCTTCTTATATTTGGTCTTTCCTTTCATCTTCTGCCTTTGTCTTTTCCTGGCAGGAGTGTCCTCTCCAGTGAGTCTTGGTTTTTCATGATGTGTCCAAAGTATGATAGCCTTAGTTTTGTCATTTTTGCTTCTAGGGAAAGCTCTGGTTTGATTTGATCTAGGATCCACTTTCTGTCAATCCAGATTATACACAACACTCTCTTCCTCTTCAAGATTACAAGAAAAAAAAATGAATTGGCTTTACTGGGCTGGCTTGTGGGGGTCATTGCAGCTTAAGGCACAGTGACTTGTTTAAGCTGCGATCAGAATAATCACCACCTGGGTGTTATGTATTGCCTTGTCTGAACCCAGGCTGGATGTTACAATTATTCAGTAACCTGTTGCTGGTTTATTTGAGCATTGTTTAACTCTCCATCAAACTATGTTGCCCAGGTTCAGGCAATATGACAAGCTGTACCCAGACAGTGATTATTCAACTTAAACTTGGCATTCTCCTCACACTTATCATGCTACGGTGGCTTCTTTGGGTTGCAGTAATCATGCAAACTAACTACTGTGCCACTGAAATGGCTGTTGGAAGCAAGGCTTAAGTATTTGATAACTTTCTGACTGTGTGTTGGCATCTTAGTCATGCTTAGAGGAAACCTGTTGAAATCAGTGGGTCAAATTAATCAGGACTAAGGAGCAGTCCTGTGCATGTTTAAACTGAAAGAATTCATTCAGTTCCCAGCTTTCTCCTGTCAGCATGGGTGGCTAGAGGATGCTGGTATTTTTGTGACTCATTTCTGCCTTAAAATGTATAGTATTGTAACCTAATTTAACAAACATCAAGTCAGCTGTTATTCCCCATTTCTTCCTCTTTCCACCTTGTATTTTTTAAACATTTTTCCTCATGAAGAAATGAGACCTTGAAAATGTAACCATTTTTGTGGCCTTCGAGTTGGCATATGAACCATAATATGTATATTGGTATTTAAATCCAATTTATTTCATTGGGTCTATTCTAAGCATGACCAAGTCTGGATCTAGCCCTATGGTGTCACTTTTATTCATTTTTATAAAGTTAGTAATAACTCTATAATAGTGCATATATATTATATATATAGTATTACTAGCTATAACTTTTTTACTATTGAAAGAATACTTTAGATGAGATATCTAAATTCTGTGAGGAGGAAATTGAAGGGTTTTATCTTCAGCATAATCCAGGTGTATGTGAATAGATTCCTTTTGCCAGTACTGAAATTTTTATTGCAATCACATACCTGTCTGTGCAGAACTAAGTTTTCAGCAGTAAGCTGTGTTCAGTGGATCTTACTTCAGAGTAGACTTATATTACATTGTTAGTGAATTCTCTGTTTTAGCCATCAGGGCACGATCGCAAACGTGCAGTTGTACAGAGCTGCCTTACACGTTTCACAGAGTGATTGCACCATCCATCAGTCCAGTGGAACGTATTGAGTCATAGCAAGATCCTTTTATAAACTTGATTGACAACTAATATTCAGTTTAATATGTTGTCAGTTTTTGAGACAGTAGCATCATGAAGGACTGGATTTAAAATGCTTTATGTGCTGTTATGTTATATGACAATTTATTCATTTTGGTTAACAATTTTTAATGTGATTCTGATGTGGCTAGGGGTAGCTCCTCTGGGTAATTTCTTCAAAGCTTTAAACCTCCTATTTACTCATTTTCAGTTTGATTCATGTGGGAATTCATAAAAGATGTACACCCTGGGTCTTTAAACTACGGCTCGTGGGCCACATCCGGCCTGCCATGCTGATTAATCTGCCCACTTCAGATCACTTTCTCTGAGCGAGTCCAAAAGCTCTGAGCTGGCTCAGGTGTACTCAGTGGGCAGATGGCCGCAATTGCGGTCGCACTCATGCAGGGAAGGTGGGCGCGATCTCAGTCGTGCTCGGGGGAGGGGAGATGGCTACAATCGTGCCCACCTTCCCTGCATGAGAGTGCCCGTGATTGCACCCCCCTTCCCTGCACAATCATGCTGTTCATATTTTTTTCAAACTAGAGTCCGGCCCCCAACAATCTGAGGGACAGTGAACTGGCCCCCTGTTTAAAAAGTTTGAGGACCCCTGATGTATACTATCAGCAAGGATGTATATACATATTCTAAGTGGAAGACTCCAAAATACATATTAGTGTAATACATTTATTAGGGTGACCAAAAGAACAAAAAACTTCCTCATTTTGGAAATATGAAACGTTATTTTATTCTTTAAGGGTTCACCCTTCTAATTATTAGATAAAGCACCTCATTTTGTTTCAATTGCTATTTTTAAATTAATACAGCATCCAAAATTAACTGCAACTTGGGTAAAATAAAGTCTGCCCAGTTTATCTCTCTGACTCACTGGTGAGAAGGGCCAGAGTGCTTTGT